AAAATATATTCTTGATCATTTGCTATCACATGCATATTATTCCACTTAAAGTTAAACAATAATATTATAGTGAGTCTGTGCCTTACTATAAATTATATTTAGATGAATGACCATGAAACTTATTCATCTCTGGTACCAGAAACAAGGTCTGGTTTTCAGTAGATTCTTGGTAAATGCTGACTTGGAAACAAATTAGACATTTAAATTGTGCATTTTTAAGAGGGAAACCATGCATAGGTCTTCAGTGGCCAAAGAATGAAATATAAACTCAGGACACCAAGCCTCAGACCAGCTTCAAACTTCACTTCTTAAAATTGTAAGCTGGCACCATTCATTCCTAGTATCTTCATTTCTTTCTTCATTAGGAAGGTCTAAGATATCATCTTTCACTCTCCATGGGGTGTAATGCTTGATACAAATGGTCAATTTGACAATTTAGTATCACCAAGGAGGCAAACTCTGAGGATGATGCTGAGGGAGTTCATAGACTGAGTCCATCCAGGAGGGATGACATACCTTAACTCTGGACAGGCCCAGATTCCTGGATGGATTAAAGTGACCTAAAGGCCAGCATTTATATGTATCTCCTTCTTGACATTGTACATGATGTGATAGTCTACCTTACCCCTCTATGCTTTTTGTGTATGCTTATTTGATCAGAATATGAAGAATATGAATATTGGACAGAAATGAACATTATAGAAACAGCTGGTCTATACAGAAACCACTAGGAACATATGGGAGTATAGAGAAAATAAAGAATGCCTAGGGATAAATACCACATAGTAAGCCACAGACGATGCTTACCATTCACATAGAGGCTATGCTTCTCCAGTGTGTAGTTTCCCAGTTGGGTGACTCCACGGCTCAGATGACTTAGTTCTGAGTACAGACCCTGAGCATCCATTCCAGGATGTGCAGGGTCGTGCTGGTAGGTGCAGGTGGTACCCACCACTGTGAATGTTCCATTCTTCGCAGGCCTTAAAGAGAAAGGTGTAGAGATTCAAGGGAGGTTCTAATGTATAATGTATATGGAAACCCCAAGGAAGGAGAAAACAGCAGAAGATCAAAAGAAGGGATAATTATTGTCAGGCAATAATGAGGGCAATTATATGGAAGTAGAATAACCTGAGGGAGGTCAGTCTGCAACTTGAGTTAAAGGAGCTATTATGGAACAAGGATCCAAGCTGTGAATGAAAAAGGAGAAAAGAGAGTAAATGGGTAAAAAATGTAGATGAAGTTAGTTTTGGCATGGGCTTTTCAGGACAGAGGGTCTTACTAGGTGTTGTAGGACATGCTCAGTGGAGTTGAACAAGGCTGAGCCACTGATCATGTCAGCTGAATATGGAAGGTTAGAGATGGTGAAGTTGATGGTGAAGGTTTCCAGGTGGTGCCTCATAGCTGGAGGAAGACAGAGAGTAAATACCCACAACTGAGTATTCACTGTGACACAACTGGAATTCTGCTCTGACATGATTATCCAACACTTACATGGGTGCTGGGAATTTGAACTTTGGTGTTCATGTTTGTGGGCCAAACACTTTACCCATGGATTCATCTACCCATCCTAAGCAGAAGCTTCTTAATTTAGTACTGAAGTTCATTCTAAGCTGTTTTTTTTTTGAAATGACATTAACTTTAGCCTTCATTAACTATCCTTTCTGTAGTAAGGCTTCTTCTTTATGCAAACCCAGGTATAATAAATTCTCTGTATGTATATGCTATTTTTGATTACTGAGTCATTGCTGATGTAATTCCCTATAATCAACACTTTATTCCCCATTCATCTGGATCATCCCTATTTATACCAGGCATATCAGTACAGGTGGAGTTTTCTCTGTAAAGCCCTCTTCTCTATCATGCCAGTTATACTTCCCTCTGAATTGTCCTCATTTTATTGAAATCATCTGTTTACCTCATGAACATGTTATTTGCGTGACCGGAGGCATCTAATTTAACTGCTCGTCTGATTTTGTGCTTCTTATGATGAGCCTAGCACTGGGTTCTTCACATCACAAGCTTCCTATCTCTTATCTGACATGTGACAACTGTGAGAAGTGTGGGGCAAGACATTTTCATCAAGTGAAATCAAAGCCCCCCCTCCCCCCCAGGTACCTGTATTGGACTCTGGCTGTAGAGATGTTGATGCGGAGGGCAAGATGGTGGTGGCTGGTTCTGGAGCTGTGGGAAAGGCTGTCATCAGGCACGGACAGAGTACCCTGATAGGTAAGCCCTTATAGCACAGATCCAAGTTAGACAAATCACCCACAAAAATAAGGGAAAGAGCAGTCATGTGAGTGGAGAAATGAGAAAAAAAACCTGTGAATGAAATTAATAAGATAGGGTGGTAAGAAGAGGGACTGATCAAAGAGTAAGGGTGAATGTGAGTGCAGAAAATGAAAGGGACCATTGTAAAGAAGAATATACAAATAATAGGTCGAAAAAGAATAAAAAAGAATGAAAACAGCATTTGAGGAGGTAGAAGCAAAGCAGAAGGAAGAAAGTACAAGTAAATGAATGAGTATAGTTAGGCAATTAGGCAGATGGAGGGTGTGAAGTGTGCGGGGAAGTTAGAGGAATAAATGGACAAATAGGAAGATGGATGGGTGGGTGGTTAAGTTGTTCACAGGGTGGCTGGACAGGCATATAGATACATAGTGAAAGCAAGAGAGAGAGAAACTGAGTGTCAAATAGACATTTGGAAAAAAGAAGATGTGTGGTAAATGGGAGAATGGATTGACAAAAGCATGGGTAGGTAGGTAGGTGGATTCATGGATAGATGGTTCATAGATAGATGTATATATCTGTAAGTATATATTCATTCCTAAGTACACAGATGGATGTGAAGATAGATGGATGGATGGATGGATGGACAAATGGATACAGGAAATGAAGGACAAATAACAAAGGACAGAAGTAAACGATGGATAAGTGAGTGAATAAATATAGAAAGAAACAAAACCAGATAGAATAAATTGTAAAAGGATGATCAGTAAAATGTGTAGATGTATGAACTGATGGATGAGTGGGTGGAAATACAGCATCAAATAAGAAGAATGTTAGGGAAATGAAAGAATGGATTGCTGAAAAGAGAGGTGAACAGGTCACTGATTTTTTAAAAAGCAAAAGTCTCAAATCACATAAATAACCATCATAATTTATAACCTGAGAATGGATTCCCTAATGGGGCCCCAGTAGCATTTGTTAATGGGAGGGATAAACTACAGTCACCATCTGACCTCTGTCCTATAACTTGTTCAGACGTCTTACTTTAACCAAGAGGAGTATGAAAAGTTCAGAAATCCAATGCTAGGCATAAAGGTCCACAAGAGAGGCCTAGAACTCATCTACTAAGACCTTAGCCTCTCTTAGGTGGCTGGTTTGTTCTGAGGCATGCTTTCTTTCTGAATGAAGAGACATACATAGGCCAAAATGCTTAGTTTTATGGATACATACTTGTAGGAGGTACATCTGGACCAGGTTCATTGTAACCTAGGAAACAAAAATTATGCATAAGTGGAAGCACCATAGTGGTTCCGTACACAATGCTTTGGTACATGTGGGGCCCCATTTTGAAAAATATTTTTGTGTATACTGAGACTCGAACTCATGTGCCCAGATCTGACTTAAATGTCATCATGAACAATTTCTTATTATTTCAATTAGATCTATCTCTTCACACTATACAATAGCAAGAGAACAATAAGAAATTTAAGCTTATATACTCCCACATATGCAGTTTATCTGCAATATTGTCTTCCCTTTTAATCTACCTCTGTTATTTAGTTTTTGTTTACTGAGCACTTACTCTCTGTGGTATTCTATTTCCAAATGGAGCATACAGTAATGACCAAATCAATCTTTACTGCACTGCAGTTTACAGTGGGACAAGGTACACATGAAAATTATTTGCTCCTGATGGCAGAGATAAAATCTGATTTATAGTAGATTTTGGTAATTATTGACTGGATAACAAAGTGATGCATTTAAACAGTACAATTTATGAATCAGAACCCAAGCAAGTTTTTTCCTGGAACAGAATTAAAGGGATGAATGTAAACCAGAATATCAAAGTGAGGGCATGTTTCTTTAATTCTCTTTGCCTCAGTTTTTCTCTTTGTTAAAATGAGAGTAATGCGGGGTCCACATTGTCTCCTCTCGTCCATAATTGTGTATAATAGTTAATGTTGCTTATCAATTTTGCTGGTCTCAGGAATACCTAGGAGACAAACTTTTGGGCATGTCTCTGAGAGGGTTTCTAGGTTGGTTTGTGGTCTAAAGATCTGTCTTAATTGTGGGAAGTTCTGCATCATGGGGCATGACTAAATAGATAGAAGAAAACAATTGGATGACTTGCATTTATCCGTTCTTCTTTCCTGACTTTTGGTGCTATGTGACCAGGCATCTCACCTTCCTTGTCATGATGAGAATGATTTCCCTAAATTAGAAGCTATGATAAACCTTTCTTCTCTTAAGTTGATTTTCTCAGGTATTTTCTCTCAAAATAAAAAAAAAATATAGCCACTTCTGAGGCAATGGTGATACATGAGTGTATGTTTCCAAGAACTATTTCTAAGTTGGGGAGGACAGGAAAGACATGGTGTGGGAGGGTAGGGGAGCAGAGGAGAACGGAGGGGAAGGGAAGGTAGGGAATAAAAGGAAGAAGATGACGAGGGGTGGGAGGAAAGGAAAAGTGAAAGAGAGGAAGTGAGTTGAGGAAAGGGAAGGAGAGAACTATTTAGACCAGTTTTTCTAATGTTATGCTTTGCAATTTAAAATGCCATACAGGGCATATCACTTAGAATCTGTCCTTTCTTGGTTTTATGCTAATATGTAGTAACTGAAGCTTAGGTTATTAGATATACAAATGCATGCTGTGTAAGAAAACCGTCCAGGAGAAAAGTTAATCTAGTATCAAAGGTGAGAAAAAAGGCTGACTGTGAGACAAGGGGATCCTCACTATTTCTCCATGAAAGACTGTTCAGTGATGTATTTGGCTAGAACATTACACTGCCAATGAACAACTGGGCTCATGTCTTAGATGGAAAAATCTCAAGCTGAGAATTATAAAGGAGCAGTCTTCTGGGGTGTGGTGGGGTTTTTTGTTAGGAGCCTGGATTTGAATCCTAATATCTCCCGAAAGAACTGGCAACTGAAAACCTTCGTAGCATGCAGGAAGACAGGGAGGTGGAGACAGCAAACACTCACCATTGATGTAAAGGCTGTCTTTATCCAGAGAGTATGGACCCAGCTGGGTGATTCCACGGGTCTGCCAGCTTAGGTCATAGAAAATTGGCTTGGCAGGCAGTCTCAGACTGTTGGGAACCTGGCGGTACGTGCAAAGGGCATCTACCTGGGTCTGGGCACCATTCTTCACTGACCTAAGGTGTGGAGAAAGAGGTATACACTGAGGAGATGTTAACCATCTGCTGTCTCACGCTCTATCGTCACTACCCAACTCATAACCTCCACTCTGATTTTGTTGAGACTGTTTGCTGCTTTGGTCTCCAAGGTACTTTCTCAAATTAGTATCTCCACATTTGTGGTTACTCATATCTAAAAGCTTTTCTTTGCACTGTTCCTTGGATTACTTACAAAGCTATCCCAACTTTGGTTTCACCTCCTCTACTTTCTCTCCTTTCTCTTTCTTCCCTCTTTCATTTTCCCTTCTTCCTCACCTTCCTTCTCTCTATTATTGTCTTCTTCCCCATCTGTTTTCTTCTCTCATTCCCCTTTCTCCTCCTCATTTTCCTTCTCTGCTCTTCTTCCCCTTCCTTGCTCCTCTTTCCCCATTCCTTCATCTTCTTCTTCCCCTCCTTTTCTCCTGCTCTTCCCTTTACCCCCATTCAGAGTGTTCTTTATTTTCTTCTTCATCCTTTTCTTCCTTTTTCTTGTTTTGTAGCAATTTCTTTGGCAATGAAACATTCTTATTCTCATTAGAGGTTCATCATAGACTCAAAGTTTTAAAGGGAGGCTCAACGAAGAACGCAGATGTATCAGAAAGGCTTGGAAAGGTACCAGATTAACACGGCTCCTCCCTTCCAGAAGTTATACAATCAATAACGAGTGATGAAGAGAAGATTGCCTAACCTACTGAGACACTTTGAAGCTGTACAGAGAGCTTCAGTATCAAAGCTTTCACGAGTTATTATTCATGTTAGGTTTACAGTAATGGGACTGCCTTTGCGTTGGCCATGCTCCTATAAGTAGTCCCTCAAATTCAAGCCTATAGCTAACCCAGTAAACTCATTGAATCACCACATTGGACTATGGTGTGTCATCATTTCCTTCTCAGGGGTAAATAGCAATCTGCCTGCCTGCCACTGTCTTTCAAATTTTGGGATTAAAGGCTTGTGTTACTGTATCCAGCCTTAAGTTTTGTTTTGTTTTACAACAATTTAATATTTTCATGATGCTTGCATCAAAATTAAGCGCTTATATATTCTTGGCAACTGATCTATAGAGAGGCCATCCCTAAGTCCTCCACAACTGGTGAATTAATTCTAGGCACGTACTCTGCTATTAAGTCATGCCACCACCATACTACTGAGGGATTAATCACAAGTACACTGTTGCTATAAAATAGTAGATTGACTTAAAAGTCATCAAATGGCAGAACAACAACAACAAAAAAAGAACGCCTTGATCCTAAGTGCTCCCATTATCACAACTCCAAGTCTTTTCCAGTGGGATAATGGGTTGGTAAGGGAGAGGACGGAAGCTGCAATGGAAACTGTGTCTCACCTCAGAGTGGTTACTCTACAGCCTGTGTATAGGGGGCCAAGACTGCTCCTCTGAAACAAAGGGCTGAGCTGTAGAGAAAGAAGTGAGTCAGAGTAGGTTAGAGGCCTTCTTCCGCACTAGAAGGGGAATGAAACTGCTTGAGGGCAGGAGGTAACTCACCAGGTGCTGCATGAGTGTATCTGTGATATTGAACTTGGGAGAGCCAATCTGGCCCATGTCGGCAGAGTAGCGTAGGTTGTTGATAGTGAAGTTTACTGTGAACATCTCCTCACCAACTTTCCCAGCTGTGTAGGTAGAAAGAGATAATGTTAAAAGCTAAAACAGACTTGACAGTAGGTAGATGGAGATAGAGGGCATTAATGTGCCATATAGTGGGTCCAAGGGTTACTTTTATTCCTCTCAGAGAACTCAAGGGTGACTCGCCAATGTAGATATTAAGGGTGCCCTTGACATGAAGAATCCTGATAGACCATTTCTACCATCCCACGTTCCATATAGGAGGGTTCAGTATAAACAAAAGGTCTTTTGTTTTGTGAGGGGAAAGGCTCATATTATCTGCTCAAGAACTGGTGACTACTAATGACTATTCCTCTCTTTTTTCTCTCCCTCTCATCTCCCTTTTTATTTCTCTTGTAATAACCAGAACCTGGAGACAACCTAGATAGCCCTCAACCAAAGAATGGATAAAGAAAATGTGGTGCATTTATACATTAGAGTACTATTCAGCAGTAAAAACGAATGACATCTTGAATTTTGCAAGCAAATGGATGGAACTAGAAAACACTATCCTGAGTGAGGTAACCCAGACCCAAAAAGATGAATATGGTATGTACTCACTCATAAGTGGATATTAGCTATAAACAAAAGATATTTATTGAGCCTATAGTTCATGATCCTAGAGAAGCTAAGTAATAAGGTGAACCCTAAGAAAAACATATATAGACTCACCTGAAAAGTTGAAATAGACAAGATCATCTGACAAAATTGGGAACATGGGGATGCATGGAGAGTGGAGGTAGAAGAAAAAAGGATGGGGAGAAGAGGAGGGATGAAGAGAACTTGAGGGAATGGGATAGTTGAGATAAAGGAAGAACAGAGATGAGAGCAAGGAAAGAGATATCTTGATTGAGGGAGCTGTTATGGTGTTAGCAAGAAACTTGGTTCTAGAGAAATTCCCAGGAATTCACAAGGATTACCCCAACTAAGTCCCTAAGCAATAGAGGAGAGGGGGTTTGAACTGGCCTTGCCCTGTAGTCAGACTGATGAATATCTTTTTTATTTTTAATTTTTTTAATTAAAAATTTCTGCCTCCTCCCCACCTCCCTTTTCCCCCCCTCCCCCCACTCCCCACTTCCCACACCCCACTTCCCTCCCCCTCCCTCTCCAGTCCACAGAACAGTCAGGGTTCTCTGCCCTGTGGGCAGTCCAAGGTCCTCCCCCCTCCATACAGTCTGGGAAGGTGAGCATCCAAACCGGCTAGGTTCCCACAAAGCCAGTACATGCAGTAGGGTCAAAACTCAGTGCTATTGTCCTTGGCTTCTCAACAGCCCTCATTGTCCACCATATTCAGTGAGTCCAGTTTTATCCCATGCATTTTCAGACCCAGTCCAGCTGGCCTTAGTGAGCTCCCAATATATCAGCCCCACCGTCTCAGTGGGTGGGTGCCCCCCTTGCGGTCTTGACTTCCTTGCTCTTGTTCTCCCTCCTTCTGTTCCTCATTTGGACCTTGGGAGCTCAGTCCATTGCTCCAATGTGGGTCTCTGTCTCTATCTCCATCCATCGCCAGATGAAGGCTCTATGGTGATGAATATCTTAAATGTCACCATAGAACATTTAGCTCCTTCCCTTTCTTCTCCCTTTCTCACTCTATTCGCCATCTACCTTTTCTCTTCCTCTTTGTCTCGTCTTTGCCTTTTCTTGTTCCTCTCCTTTCTTTTCTGTCCCACTCCACTTCCTTCTTTCTCGATTCTCTCTTCTTTCCTCTTTATTTGTTCTTTTCTTCCCCACTTATTTCTTTCTTATTCTTCCTCTCTGCCTTCTTCCCTTCCACTTCTCCATCACTCCTCCTCCCTTCCCTCTGTTCCACCTTCTCGCTCTTTTCCCCTTTCTTTTCCTTGGTACCCCTCCTTCTAGACCTACTCTACTCCATCTCTCTCTGTCTCTTTCCAATCTCTCTTTCTCCTACTTCCTTTATTCTTTTATCCTAGTATCAGTACCAGTACAAAAGATGCAGAGAAAGGGAGAGAGAGAGAGAGAGAGAGAGAGAGAGAGAGAGAGAGAGAGAGAGAGGAGAGAAATAAAAAGAGAAAAATGTGAAGAAGAAAAACAAAATGAAACCATCTCAATGAACCAGAAGTCACCTCGTAACTTATTCAACAAGGGTTTTAAGACAAACTTAATAAAAACTATATAATGCATAGTTGCAAATAACCAAGGGCTTTCCTAGCTTTGTTCAGAATTTGTCCGTAATTGCTTCCCCATTGTCTTTCTTTGGAAGACCTGAACCACAGTTGATTTTTTTTGTCACATCACAAATTATTGCTTGCTGAAATAAATTCTTTAATAGAAAAAATGTTATTGTGCCTCAGTTTATCTCTTAAGGACAACAAAGTCAGGTTTGTGGGAGAACTAAAACAAAACAAACGCAATAATCAGCGTGGTAGGAGATGGTATGTGAATCTACGTCTTCCTCACCCAAGAAGCCAGGGGAGGAGGATGCCACTTCTCTCACTGAGGTGTTGGGGAGGTTGGTGAAGTTGAGAGTGATGGGTGCCACCACAGAATGATTGACTGAGTAGCAGATTAAGAGAGAAGCTCCCAACCCGGAACAAAGCCGTGCAAAGCACCTAATCATGGGGCACTGTTAGAGTAACAGTGTCAGAAGCAGGGAATACTTGGAAACTCTTAAGTTATTAAAGACCTCTTTCTTCTTTCTCCCAAGAAACATGCATTGTGCATCTATGTAGATTCTCAAGTAGCCTCTATGGGTCCAAATATTAACAGAGCATAGTCAATAATCTTCTAATCCTACTAGATTTCACTTCCAACCAATGAATGAATCAGTTCTGTGGAAAAAGCACCATTTTGGGGGTCCTTGAAAGTGGAGGCAGAACCTAGACAATGACAGCCAGAAATACTCACTAATGTTAGCTGGGGCTGCAGTTCCAAAATGGTAACCTGTAAAGAAAAAGTGAGGGACGTAAGGATGAATATCAAGGACTAAGGGGAAAGGAGAATGCAGTCTTTGGGGTTCTCAGAAGTGAAAGGAATGCTGATGGGACCAAGAACCCTATTCATTCAAAGCAAGCATTCTACCCACTTCCTCATGGTATTTTTGAATCATCACAATAAAGAGAGAACACAGACACAAACAGAAGAAAAATGTGACAAAGATCATTCTAGAAAGAGGGATTAATTGGTCAGTACTTTAGCAAAACCTAAGACTCTAAGTGGGGGAGAGCTCATGGCTTAAATGTGGGATCTCACCATTAATGTAGAGACTGTTCTGGTCCAGGGTATAGGGGCCCAGACGGGTGATGCCATGTGTCTCATGGCTCAACTTCCAAAATAGCTGATCTCGGACTAATCCAGGGCTCATGGAGTCAGAGAGGAAGGTGCAGATTATGTCTACACCTGTGGCTTCTCTATGATTGTCTGACCTGGAAGAAAGACATGAGAGATTCGTACACCAAGGTCAGTTCTAGAGCATTTGGGGCATTGGATGCAGGGGGCAGAAGAGAGGAGGCTGAAGATCACAAAGAGAATAGTTATAAAGTTTAAAAGTCCTTTAAAAGTTTTAAAGTGTCCTCTAGACACTGGGATCAGAAATAATTGTGTGTGTGTGTGTGTTTTGTGTGTGTTTAGACTCAGATAAGCAACCTTGAATATGTGGACAGCTTCTAGGCATCTGCTTTCTTTCATTGCTGAATCAGGATCTCTCTATTTTCTGCTGCACTACACACTCAGGCCATGTGGCTGAGCCATTCCTGTGTCTGCCTCCCACCTCATTGCAGGAATATTAGGATTACTGATGCATGCCACTAAATGGGGCTTTGTGTGTTGGTTCTGGGAATCAAACTCATCATCAAGCTTGCATTGCAAATGCTTTTGTGCACTAAGCCATTTTTCCAGCCCTGCATCCTGCATTATTTTTCATTGTCTTTTATATTGTTTTGAGATAAGGTCATTCATTAGGACCTGTGGCTTTCCAGTTAGGTTATGCTGGCTGACTAGTGAGCTCTAGCCCTCTGCCTGTCTTTTCCAGGAGTTAGTTCTTTCACATTGCTGAATCAGGGTTTCTCTTGTTACCAGTGCTGTGTTTACAGATGTTTGCCACCACACCTAGCATATTTATGTGGACTCTTGGGGGTTGAGGTCACTTTTATGCTTCTATGGGAAACACTTTACCAAATGACCCATCTCTCTAATGCTTCCTAAATTTTTTTGCTTATGCTGAATACAGGAAATTCAGTTCTTCTAAGAGAACCCCCATTTTAAGTAGAATGTCACTTGAATTTTCTAGGCTAAACAATTCCTATTAGTAATTTACTAATTGCTCAGTATGTACTCTATTTCTACTCTGCGTAAGAAGAATGTGTTAGAGCATCAGGGTGGATGCTAAACATGATGATAGAAGCACATGGTCTCTGCTGGCTGCTTCAAGACAGTCCACTCCCTCTAGGGGTCTTACCTGAGTGAAGCCAGTCTGCATCCAGAGTAGTGTGTGGCAATGATGGTCTTATTGAACAAGGTGTCAAGCTGATGGAAAAAAATAAATAGTAAGGAAAATATAGATGGGACCTTGCCAGGGAGTTGTAAGGTAGAGTTAGTGGGATTCTTGGAAGGACTCACCAAATAATGTAAGATCCACTTGGTGGAGTTGAACTTCAAGGAACCTGGATGACCCATCTCCTCTGTGTAGTGTAAGTTGGTGATGGTGAAGTTGAGAGTGATGGGTACCATGATAGTACCAACGACTATAGCAGTGGGGAAATAGAGATGTTTAGATTTAGAACTGGTACTGGCCAAGGCTGCGTCTAATTCTGTGTAGCATTGTTGGACTAACAAGTTTTGAAGCAGGGGATATTCTGGATCTGTTAAAACATTAGAATTGGAGCCTTTCTTCTTGCATCCAGGAATGATTAATGTTCAAAAAGTTCTGTCATCAACTCCTTAGGTCCAAAGGTGAATAGGGAATCATCACCTAAAGTATATTCTAGGGAAGTTATCAAACTATTATAATTTAGGAGAAGTTAGTAGAAGGGCAGATAGGAAAATTAGTGACCCAACTGATGACTCTAAAAAGTTCTTTGTAGAAAGCATTATTTCAGAGATGACAAAAAGCATGGCAAAGAGTTGCTAGAATCTAAGCAATAAGGAGAACACTCCAGAAGAGTGCATAATGAGTTAAAGAAACTTAAAATTACTTTACTATTTTCAAAGGGAGTACAGGTGTGAGATTTGCAGGAACCTCTGAGCTTACTCCAGAGAGGTAATGGTTAAATAACGCAAAGCCTTGGATGTGACTCATAGAACAAAAAGAACCCCTTGAATGTTATTTAGAAGAAAGGAATTCTATAGATACAATCACATCATAAAGAATGTTGTAGCTGCTACTTGGGAGACATTAGGAAGCCAGAATCTTTCTAGGAAAAACATGCCTACCTCAATAAACTCTAAATGATATAGATGCAGAGAAAGAAAAGGTTTGAGAGTATCCCCAAAGGGCCAAAAGATGAGATTCGGTGACAGTTGGATGTGGGAGGTGAGCACGAGGAGGGGTGAGCACTCTGCCTGTGCCTTTGGTAATTATGAGAAGAATGGTTATATTTGGAGGACAATTATATCTTCACGATGAGTGATTGTGATGGTTGCTGTTGATGATCAATTTGATAGACTCTAGCATCACTTTGGGAAATAAGCTTAGCATACTTGTGGAAGGCTATCTTGTTCATATAAATTGATATGGGAAAACACATTTCAACTATGACCAGGACCGAATTTCCCTGGATATGGCATCCTATAATGTATAAAATGGAGAAAGGCACTGGAGCACTAACGTGTTCTCATGAGTCTGTTTTCTAGTTGTGAATGTGATGTGACCAAAGGTTTCAAGCTCCTGCTGTTTTAACTCTCTGATGGACTGTATCTTAAAAAGATAAAAATAAGTCCTTCATTCTTTCCTTGAGTTGTTTTGATTAGGATATTTTATCATTGTAACAAATAAAAAGTAAGTTGGTGGTCAAAGAGACCTCAGTGATATCTCGGAAGTATGTAGACCAATGTTCAGGAACTCCTTTGTGGTACTGATCCGGATCAGAATTTGGACCCTGAGTAACTAGTTTGCAGAATGAAAAACAAAGTCTTCACTGCAAGGTAGATGAGCCTCGAAAGAAGAAACAGTTTGTTTGCCTTTTTGGTACCAATAAGAACATGTATCCTTCCCTACCTGTGGAATTAGTTGTAGAGAATGGAGTCAGAGAGGAAGCTGGGAAGGATGTGGTAGTCACAGTTGCTGAGACAAAACAAAAAACAAAAAAAAACCTAAGATGAGGAATGAAATACAAATTGTGATACATCTTTAATTAATGGCTGCAACCTGGATGCCTATTTCCAAGAATCTGCGTTTTGTTTTATGGCATCTATTATTTGAAATTTGATATCACCCTTGGGTTGTGTGCTTTGGGGAAGGGTGGGTGACCCTTACTATCTCTATTTTAGTCTATATTTCCATAAATCTTTTTGAAATCCTGATCAGTTAAACTGGATAGTAGAAAAAAAGGTTGGCTTATCGATATATTCTTTTTTTAAAAAAAAAAAATTTGTTTATTTGTTATGTATACAGTGTTCCTCTGCATGTATGCCTTCATGCCAGAAGAGGGCACCAAATCTCATTCAGATGGGTGTGAGCCACCATGTGGGTGCTGGGAATTGAACTCAGGACCTCTGGAACAGCAACCAGTGCTCTTAACCACTCAGCCATCTCTCCAGCCCTGGCTTATCCATATTTTCATATTTCAGGAGATGGGAGGCAGCCAGGGGCATGTAGATTTCTGTAATACTCACTGTTCAGGATCATATCTGAGGTTAGATTGGTGTAACCTATAGAGACATGGAAAGGTAATGAGGGAAGAGAGAGATTGTCAACAAAAAGGCAACTTTTGACATGAACCAAGCTCTCTTAAATTACTAGAGTTTCTAATTCTGTCTTTAGAAAGATTCTATTTCCAATTTTACTTCAGACTGTGTTTGTAGCTTACCTTTAGCCACAGAACTCACCCAGGCAGGCAGAAAGAACCCACATTCAAACAAGACCTTTTATATTGAAGTGAGAGATCCTATTGTAAAAACTAGGGAGGAAGTACCCTAAGTGGTTGGTTGGGAACTCCATTTTCCTGTATTTTCCAGAGAAGAAGTGCTTATATCTGGAACAATAGCAGGGAAGAGATCTCTGCTCACTCAAGGCTGGAGATAGAGTGAAGGTATGGTATAGAGACAGTAGGTTCATGGACCCCTTCATTTCTAATGTCTAGGTTGTATATAGTAGAAAATTTCAAACTTTACAGATACCTAAAAGCTCATACTACTTGCTGCTGGAGGTAGTGACTAAGATTTGGTGGGCATAAGCTGTACAGATGGAGGGAAAAGTATATGGTCAGGTAAAAAGGAGATAAGAAGTAGATGTCGCTTGCTGAGCAGTAATAAAGGTAAACAGCCTGCAATGTGTAAGCTTGGCTGTCAGTTTGATGGGATTTGAAATAACCTCTGAGACACATCCGGAGGTGTCTGTGAAGACATTTCCAGGGGAGTTTAACTGAGCAGGGAAGATGCTCACTAAATATGGGTAGTACCATTCCATGGCCTTAGGCCCTGACGTGAATAAAAAGGAGAAAGTAAAGCGAACACCAGCATTCTTGTCTCCTTGCTCATGCCCTCTGTGCCTTGGAGAACTACATCTTTTCTCAAACTCTGAGCCAAATTAACCTTCTTTTCCTTAAATTGTTTTTCTAAGGTGTTTTGTTACAGAAAAAGAAAAATGAGCAATACTCATCCCTCACCATTAACATAGAGACTGTCTCCATCCAGAGTGTAGGGGCCCAGCTGAGTGACACCATTGGTTAGCTTGCTCAGCTCCAAGTACAGTTGCTCTCTAGCCGGGCCATGACCTGTGTGGTCAGGGTAATAGGTGCAAACTGTTTCCACTCCAGTGGCTTCTCCATTCTTCCTGGGACTATGGAGACAGAGTAAAAGTGATAATCATAAATGGTCTTGAGAATTGTTGGAGTGACATACAAAGAGGCCATCAGGAATAAGAGGTCTGGTATGGAGGCAGGAGTCCAGGCTTAGTAGAGATTAAGAGACTGAGTATTTAGACCTAATTAGACATCTTTAGTAACCCCTTCTTAAATCAAATATTGGGCAATATCGAATAAGCAGAGGCAGAAAGAAAGTAACAACTAGAAGTTGGGGATGAATCCTGTAAAATACTGTCTTCTGGACATGACGTAGCTACTAGACTTATGAACTCACTGAAGCTGTGTTTACTTGCATAAAAGAAGAATCAAGTCAGCAAAACTTCTATTGTATATGAGGGTCTTATCCTTTGCTGTGGAACTATCAGCAGTTAATAGCTGCTGGAGAAGAGAGAATACTTTTTTATTATTATTTTTATTGAGCTCTACATTTTTCTCTGCTCCCGTCTCTACCTCTCTTCCCCTTCAACCCTCTCCCAAGTCTCCATGCTCCCAATTTACTCAGGAGATCTTATCTTTTTCTACTTCCCCTGTAGATTAGATCCATGTATGTCTCTCTTAGGGTACTCATTGTTGTCTAAGTTCTCTGGGATTGTGATTTGTGGGCTGGTTTTCTTTGCTTTATGTTTAAAAACCACTTAAGAGTGAGTACATGTGATAATTGTCTTTCTGTATCTGAGTTACCTCACTCAAAATGACTTTTTATAGCTCCATCCATTTTCCTGCAAAATTCCAGATATCGTTATTTTTTTTCTGCAGTGTAGTACTCCATTGTGTAAATGTACCACATTTTTCTTATCCATTCTTCAATCGAAGGGCATTTAGGTTATTTCCAGTTTCTGTCTATGACAAACAATGCTGCTATGAACATAGTTGAGCTCATGTCTTTGTGGCATGATTGAGCATCCTTTGAATATATACCCAAAAGTGGTATTACTGGGTCTTGAGGAAGGTTGTTTCCTAATTTTCTGAGAATTGCCACAATGACATCCAAAGGGGTTGTACCAGCTTGCATTCCCACCAGCAATGCAGGAGTGTTCCTTTTTCACCATAACCTTCCAGCATAAGTTGTCATCAGTGTTTTGGATCTTAGCCATTCTTACAGGTGTAAAATGGAATCTCAGAGTTGTTTTGATTTACATCTCTTTGATGGCTAAGGATGTTGAGCATTTCCTTAAGTGTCTTTCAGCCACTTTAGATTCCTCTGTTGAGCGTTCTCTGTTTAGATCTGCACTCCATTTTTTTTTTTTATTGAATTATGTGTTCTTCTGATGACCAATTTCTTGAGTTCTTTGTATATTTTGGAGATCAGACCTCTGTCTTATGTAGGGTTAGTGAATAACTTTTCCCATTCTGTAGGCTGTTGTTTTGTCTTGATGACCATGTCCTTTGCTTTACAGAAGCTTTTATTAATTAAAATGGGGTCCCATTTATTAATTGTTTCTCTCAATGTCTTTGCTGCTGGGGTTATATTTAAGAAGTGGTCTCCTGTGCCAATGTGTTCAAGTGCACTTCCCACTTTCTCTTCTATAAGGTTCAGTGTGACTGGCTTTATGTTGATATCTTTGATTCAATTGGACCTTTCCCTTCTATAAGGTTCAGTGTGACTGGCTTTATGTTGATATCTTTGATTCAATTGGACCTGAGATTCAGTTCCACTGGTCCTCCTGTCTGTTTTTATGCCAATACCAGGCTGTTTTCAGAACTGTAGCTCTGTAGTAGAGTTTGAAGTCAAAGATTGTGATGCCTCCAGAAGTTTTTTTATTGTACAGGATTATTTTGACTATCCTGGGCTTTTTCATATGAAGTTGAGTACCATTCTTTCAAGGTTTGTGAACAATTTTGCTGGGATTTTAATAGGCAGTGCATTGAATCTTTGGTAAGATTGCCATTTTTACTATGTTAATTCTATTTACCCAAGAGCATGAGAGATCTTTCTACTTCCTGGTGTGTTCTTTAATTTTTTTCTTCAAAGATTTAAAGTTCTGGTCATACATGTCTTCCACTTGTTTGGTTAGAGTTACTCTGAGATATTTTACGCTATTTTTGGCTATTTTGAAGGGTGATGTTTCTCTGATTTCTTTCTCAGCTCATTTATCATTTGTGTACAGGAGGGCTACTAATTTGTTTGAGTTAATCTTGTGTATCCTACTACATTACTGAAAATGTTTATGAGTTGTAGAAGTTCCTTGATAGAATTTGTCAGATTCCTGATTGGTGCTGGCAATCAAATGTGGGTCCTATAGAAGAATATCAAGTGCTATCAACTCACTGTACCATTTTCAATATTTTAGAAATAATAAATAAAGGGTTATATGTCATTATAAAATTATCTAACAAAGTGCGTTTTAGTGCTTCTTCTCCCCTCAGTTTCGTCTCCTCAACCCTCTATCATTTCTGATATCCCTTTTTATAAAATATAAAATAAAATAATAAAAATGGGTTAATTTAAGATGTGAGTTAGCCAGAAATACTCTTAAAGCTATTAGCCAACCAGTGATTTAATTAATACAGTTTCTATGTGGTTATTTTGAGGCTGAGCAGCCAGGAACAAACAAGTGGCCTTCTCACTACACTTTTATAAGCTTTTCTCTAACTGCTTTTTTTCTCTGATTTCCTGGTCATTATATACCTATCTCGAAGCATGAGATGTAATCTCTCATTTTCTCCTTAATTCTTATACTTTCCTAATCTTCAAATCTTTCAATATTATCTCTTGGTTTCATTTGCCCATCTACAAAATGGACATAGTGATATTATTGGCTTTTTAAAAAATTTGCATAAGATCAAGCCAGTCACACCTCTAGAGTGGATGGGGAGGAGCTCATAAGCAGCCATTACGAGGGGAGGCACTATGGTAGTTGATGGTGGTTAGAGAAGTAGCCAGTTTTCTTTGATGGTATAGCTACTAGCAGGTGGTGGCTCATGCTCCAATGGATGGCCCCATATTCATGCACATATGAACATTACTAATTGGACATAGAGGCATATAGTAAAGAAAAAAGAGGTTATAAAGTTGGGTAAGATACATGTTGGAGGATATCTGGACAGGGAAAATAAGGGATGGATATGACAATACAATGCATATGTAAATGATCTCCCCAAAATACATATTTAAAACACAAAATAACAGCCGTTGGAAAGATGGCTCAGTGGTTAAAAGCACTTACTGATCTTCTAGAGGTTTCAGCACCCACACGCCATACCACAGCAGCCTATAGCTTCAGTACCCTATTCTGACTTTCCATGGATAGCTGGTTCTCCTCTGGAGAATCCTGATTAATATAATACTATTAAATATCCTACTATACATAGAACAGCCACATATAATAATGGCAATTTGGCAATTTCTCTTTCCTATACCCTAGTGTCTGAAACATGCTAACTGCTTGTTATGTGTGAGCCATCAGGAACAGTTGAATAAATCTTCAATCTATATAAAAACAGTAGAACATCTTTTTGTAAAGGATAGAGTATGTCCCTTGTGAAAGAGTTTCATTCATAATATCTAGTGGTTTTGCAATATTAATCACAAGAAACTATGCTGGGATATGAGGACCATCTGGATATAACCATCTGTTACTGTTATTCCACTCATCACCAGGATTGATTTGGATGATTTGTTTGGTTAAACAGTTATCCACTTCTTCCATCAGCACCCATGTACATCCCTCCCAAGGCTGTATGCTTAAAGACAATGACTTTCACAAATAGGGGAGGACTGGTCTTCAATTAAGGGCATAGGAAGAGTTGTGCTCCCTTGGAAAGAACAACCAAATACGTTATGAAGAAATACTGTTCTGCATTTAAATGTTAAGTATCCCCTAGGTGTTCACACTGTACAGGCATGATCCCTAGGGGGAACTACTGGGATGGGGGAATGTTGAAGCTGAGTGAAAGGTCTTTAGATCACTGTGGGGTGTGTTCTCAAGAAAACTGTAAGACTGTAGCTTGTTCATCTTTCTCACTTTTACTTTTTGCCTGGACAAGGTTAATTTAGGTCTGTTGACACTCCATGAGTCAAAAGCGATAATCCATCTGATTGTGGATAAAGATGACTCTAAAACTGTGATCAAAATTAAACTTTTAGGTTTGCGATATAGCTTAGTTGGTAGAGAGCTGATGTAGTTAGTATGCATGAGACTTTGACTACCATTTTTCTACCACCATATACAATGGGTCTGGTAGAATACACAAGTAATCCCAGCATTCAAGAGGTGAAGACAAGAGAATAACAAGTTCAAGGAAACACACTAAATTTTTGCAAGCTTCAAAAACAACAACAACAAGCCAACAAAAATCAAACTATCAAAAAGCCCTTTTTCTTTGTAAGTTAATTATTTCATGGATTTGTTTTGTTTGGCTTTGGTTTTGTTTGTTTGTTTCTGTGATAGAAACTAATACAAACTATATGAGAGATTTAAGAATGAGAGTATAAAATCCAGCCTAACCCAGGGGCTGCAAAAAGGTTGAGACCAAAAGGAAAACCTAGGCATAGAGAAGTGTGTGTAGAAACTTCACCATGATTTCCTGGGTGGTCTTCTCTATCGGTCTCACCTGAGTGAAGTCAGTCTACAACCAGAATACAGTAGGCCAACGCTGCTTTTTTGGAACAAAGGTTTGAGCTGCGAAGAAAAGAGAGGGCTCAGCTAAATATACAGTCTGAGTAGAGAAAAAGGGGAGAGGGCAAGAAAGAAGTGAGATTGTAGAAGGGTGGGATGGGGAGACAGTCGGTGTGGCAAGTGGGGATGTGAATGAGACTGGGAAGGTGAGAGAGGCTGTAGAGATATAAATCAGTTAAAATCTGTAGCAAGGGTACTCTTGAGTGTGGAATAAAGGATGTAGGTGTGGACCAGTGGCAGGGTAATAAAGGCAAGTGGTCATGGTTTTAGTGGGACTGTTGGGCAGGTGAAAGTGGACAGAACTAGAGTGAGCTGGTAGGCCCTCAGTGGCTGTGGCAAGAGAGGGATGAGTGGGGATAAGAGAAATGGAAGAGAATCTAGTGGGTGTAGCAAGAAAACAAGCAGGGAGGATTGGAATGGGTGGGCTCAGTACCGATGTGGGCAGATACCAGAATGAAGGACAAGAGGGGGAAATATGCAGTGTGAGACAGGGGTGGGGGTCAGTGAATGGATTGGGAATTAAGACATTAGTGTGGCTGGAGCAGGTGAATAGAACAACTATGGCTAGTGCAAGGGATGTGAGTACGTCACCAATGATAAGGGCCAGAAAAGTAGATAGGGATAGAGTGGGTAGGTTATCAGTCGGCAAAACAAGAGGTTGTCAAGGCTGAGAAGAGTGAGTGGGGCAAAAGGTAGCAAGAACTATGTGGTAGGTACAAGTAAGTATAACAAGATGGGAGTTTTAGTGGGGCTGTAATGAAGGGGTGGGGAAAGGCAGGTGAGCAAGTCTTGAATTCATGGACAAGCAATAAGTAGATGTGGTTAGGGAAGTATAGGAAAACTTGGAATGAGTGGGTAGGCACCAGAATGAGTTAATACCAATAGGTGGTGCAAGAGGGGGGTTGTGGGTGGGACCTTACTGGTGGTAGGGAAAGCAGAAGTTGGTGTGGTAGGTAAGATGAGTGGATGGGTTAACAGTAGATGAGGTAATGGAGGTGTGCAGGTCACCAGAGGGAAAGGCAAGAGAAGTAGGCTGGGATGAAAAGGGAGGTCAGGTCACCATGGAGGGTCATGGGAGAAATGTGGGTGGAAACAATGTCAGCGTAAGAGAGATAGTTGGGCAGGGCTTTAGTGAATGGGCTGGGCAAGTGGATAGTGGGTGAGGATAATCTGTTTGCTGGGCAAGAAGAGGTGAATAGGGCTGGGAAAGGTCAGAAGAGAATCAGTGAGTATTAGAAAAGAAATGTGTGTGGGCATTAGTTGGTGAAGTAACAGAGGGGCATGGGTACGGATGGAGCAGATGGGCCAACCATCACTGCCTAGAACTAGATACAGGAGTGCTACACTTGAAGAGGTAAAAGAGACACCAGTAAGTGGGACAAGAAGGCAGGAGTGGAGTGGGTGGATGGAGTACCAGTGTGCTATGCGAAGGAAGAGGGTGTGACCGGAGAGAGCAGGTGAGCCTTAAGTAGGTAAGGCTGAAGGTAGGCAGAGTATCATGAATATAACACAAGGGATGCACATGGTGGATGGTGAGTAAAACAAGAAAGAGAATAGGATGAGGCTTTAATGGGTGAGTGGGGCAAGAAGGTGGCAGGTATGGCTGGAGTAGGGGAGCAAGACCAAAGGCGATGGAGTGGGTGAGGCGAGGGAAGGGAGCAGGAGTCTCACCAGAAGCTGCAAAACTTTCTCCACTTTGTTGAACTTGGCATACCCTGGGCCCCACATATCCTCTGTGTATGGTAGGTTGGTAATAGTGAAGTTAAGAGTGCACAGCAGTGGAGCAGAGCTTGAGGCTGCAATTAGATTAGGAGAGAAGTTAAGTCCTGAGCCATATCGGAACTAGATCTAGGGTTTAGGACACAGTCTATATTCTTATCACTGCGATCCAAGTATTCATATCTAGGGCAACAGTTCAGGATGTCTCTACCAGAATTAAAAAAAAAACTTATTTTGAATGATACAAATAATAGTAATTAAACACTGATGGCAATTAAAATATCAATATCAATGTACTTTCAGCCTTGGTAAGATAGCATATTTTACAACACATAGCAGTTACTACAGGGACTCTTAATTAGTCAAAGTTCTGAGAATAAGTGTTCAGTAATTAGATATGAACAAAACATCTATCTATATCACCTCCTGAAAAGCCAAGGTAGTATCACAGAAGCACAGGAAGAGGGAAGGTAAGAGCAGGATGGGGAAGAGCCCTGTAGGATATTGTCTTCAGGACACCACATGGCTGTAGCACTTAACTCACAGCTGCTTTCACTTCTCCAAGAGTGGGCCTAGTGAAGTTCTAACATGAATGGAGGAGGGGCTCACTAGCCCATCTGGTTCTGAGGAGCTATTGCAGATAAGAGTTTCTGGGGGTGGTAGGAAAGACAAGTTCTTCAGTTGTATGGCTACTAGTAGATCACAGATGCCTCTATCACTGCTTTGGATTAATTCCCTTCTTTTACTGTTGATCCCTTTCATGCAACAACATTGGAGCTGTACATAGCTTTATCCATGCAACATTGCCATGTTTGCTCACTCCTCCAAGCAGGATCAATTATCAGCTCAGAGTAAGACCTTGGGTCAGAGAGCTCTGGTAAGAAAAGGCCTTTAGAGCCATAGAATTTATCTGTTTTGTCATACGTATGGGTATGTGGTGTGCATATATGTATGTGTGTTTGCATACATGTGGGGGCATGTGTGTACACATGTATGAGAGCCAAGGTTGATGTCAGGTGTCTTCTCCAATCAGTCTATCTTATATATTGTGGCAAGATCTCTCAAAGACAACTCAGAGCTTGCCCTTTCTACTCATCTGGCTATTCAGTCTTTTTGGAGACAGGCAGGCTGCTATGCTCACCCAGATTTAATATGGATTCTTGGGAACCCACACTATGATCCTCGTGCTTAATTAAGAAACATTTACTTATTAAACCACTCCTGGGCACTATATTTCCAAGATGACTCAACTCTGGCTTTTACAAGTATAAGCAATACAAGCATGAATACATACAAACAGAGAGGGGGAGGATGGAGGGAGAGGGAGAGAGAGAGACATACAGACTTCTTGGTCATTTGGTCAAGTGGGTCAAATTAGGAGGCTGATAAAATCCTGAGTTGCTGTTTTTATACATTGCTTCCTGCACAAATTTCTTCTTGGCTAACTGGTCTGCTATTTAAAATACTTCTAAGAGTTTGAGAAAGATTTGGAAATTTGTAGACACCTACATTAGGAAACAGGAACCAGAGAATGGCTTTGGAAGCATGATTCTGGGATGGGAAATATTGACAATTAGCTGAGAATTCTCGTACCTTTGAGGACCCTCTCATCCATCAAGGGTCAACCTTAGGATCCCCTTTAACATACTACTCCACCCATCACCTTGCCTCCTGCGATTACAGAAGTCACCAGAAGCATTTTCAGAGAGAATTTTACCTGTGAGATTGGAGATGGGAGTTGGCATAGTTGAAGAAACAATGTTCACCATAGACACTGTGGGGGGAAAAGACATCCATTTGAAGACATCATCTGTGGATGACACTAGGGTGTCTCAGTCTGGGTGCTGCTAGGGTTTAAAGTGCTGTACACCTCAGGCTGCAGGTTAGGTGAAGAGTGAAATGGAGACAATAGGCTATTGTTTTCTTTCATTTCAAAGGGCTGGGTATAGGGATAGGTGTGGTAGACAATTAAGGAAACTTATAATACTCACTTCTGGGAGTGGTAACCAGGATCTGGTGTGTGTAACCTACATGGACAACAGGAGATTTAAACTCTAGTGGAACTGAGGGGAAGAAGGAGTGGGAAAGGAGGGTATGGGCTCTATAATACGGCAAAGCACAGATGACTGTTGCTCACCATTGACATAGAGACTGTTCTTGTCCAGGATGTAGGGGCCCAGCTGGGTGACACCCTGGGTCAGATTGCTCAGCTCCCCATATATCTGCTCATTTTCCAGCCTGTGGCCAGCAGGGTCTAGGCGGTGGGTGCAGGTGGCATCCACCCCTGTGGCACTTCCATTTTTCTCAGACCTGGGAAGGGTAGATAAGGAGAATGGTGATAAACTGGCTGCTTAAGGAGGGATCCAGCACATGAAGGGTTCAGAGGAGCAGAAATATCTGATAGAGACTTACAAAGTCAGTTGTAGATTTTCTATCATATTGACTGCCTGTAATGTGTGACCCTGAGCAGACGGTGAGTTCAGAATTATTATCAGTTGCAAGAATCAAATAAACAAGTGTATGTTATGGGAAAAGGAAAGGTCGCAAGTGAGACGTTTGAAGAATAACGTTTAGGGCACCAAAGGTCAACATTAGGGAGCAAAAAGAGCATATTTGTCTTAAGACAAACCATGTGGGCCAACTTCAAAGTTCATAGGAAATGTTCATTTATTCCTAAGTAAGGGGAAGAAGGAGGAAATTCAAAATGGAAGAACAGAAGGTATTCCAATCTGTTGATGAATTGTGGGACAAGCGATAGAATCAGGAGACATTTTGGTACGAGATATGGTACCTCCCAAATTCACTTGTGCATAAGACATTCAGAAGTGCAGCAAGGAATTTGAACACAATCCTTGGACTGAGAGCACTTTAAGCAACTCCAGCCTGCTATTCTGAAGACTCACCTGAGCAAGATCAGCCTGCAGCCAGAATGCAATGGACCAACACTGGTTTTATTGAACAAGGGCCTGAGCTGTGGAGAAAGGAGAAAGGTGAGGAGAAGCAGTGAGAGATAAAGTCAGGACAGAAGAGAACTGAGCAAAGCAGGCATTATGAGTTGGATTTGCATATGTATAGTCAGGATGAGGTGAGCAGTGGTGTCTTCCAGGATCAAGGCATGGCATGGCCAGTAGGTGGGGCTAGATGCAGAAAGCAGGACTCTCACCAGGCTCTGCAGGGTTCTGTCCATGATATTGAACTTCCTGGATCCAGGGTGACCCATTTCCTCCTCAAACTCCAGGTTAATGATGGTGAAGTTGATGCTGAAAGGCACCAGGACAGGGCCTGCAGCTGCAGAGGGGATTAGAGGAAGACATGTTGCTCAACCTCTTATTGTTCTCTAGACTTCAGCATGGAGCAACAGCTATGTGCATATTCAAGCACTGTAGAGATACTTCCTGTAGGAAGCACATTTGTTTTCGGGGGAAGAGACATCACAACAGCTTCAACTTAATTACCAAGGAGAAATTGGACTGTAGTTGAGAGGTAACTTCACCATGAAGCAGAATGGAAGCTTATCTGTCCCTCCAGGGAGCTATCATACCTATAATTCTGAGTTTTATAATGTAAACTATTTTTCTCTTTTATTTTTTATTTTACTATGTTGACTTATATAAGACCACTTTATCAGTGACCATTTCTAAGCACAGGCCACTTACTTCCTCTTTTCTGTTCCTCCTTCTCCTATTACATCAGTTACCTAAGACAGAAACATTCAAGTCATCTACTCATGTGCAATTACATATAAATGCATATATAATCTAAGAACCACAAATAAGAGAAAACATGTGATATTAGTTTTTTTTTTTTTTGAGACTAACTTAATTCGCAACGTATTGGTTACATCCATGTTCCTATAATTGAAATAATTTGTTTTTTATTGCTGAAGTGTTCCAATGTTCATATGGAGTACCTTTTCTTTACCCATTCTTTTTTTGGTAAACATATTAACACAACCTGCCAGTCAGTTGGTTAGTTATAGAATTAAGTAGCTGTTCTAAACTGAATTATTATATAAATCAATTATTAACTAGTTTCAATCTATGAGAAGACTAAGGAAAATGTATAAATGAAAGATCAGGAAGATAGATCAATTGGTAATGTGACTGCTAAAAAATCATGAAAATTCAAGTTCAGATTTCTAGTACCCATGTTAAAAGAAAAAAAAAAGCCAAGCACTGTTGTGTGAGTCTGTAACCACAGCTCTGAAGGGGCAGAGACAGTAGATTCCTGGAGCTCACTGGTTAGCCAGCTTAATTGAACTGGTGAGCTTTATATGCAGTGTGAGAACCTATCTTAAAAACCATGAAAGGACTAGAGAGATGGCTCAGTAATTAAGACTATTGGTAGTTTTTATTTCAGAGTTCCCAGCACCCACATTGTAGCTTACAACCATGAGTAAGTCCAGTTCTAGAGTATCTGATGACCTCTTCTGTCCTCTGAGGGTATGACGTGCATTAAAAACACCATACACATAAAAATAAAGTAAATAAGGTAAAGAGTTGTCCAGAAAGGCAGCCGTGATTGACCTTTGGCCTCCACGTGCATGGACTTATAACCTGCACATGCATCTGCACACATGAGAATAGCCACACATACGGTGGGAGGTTCAGGGGGTAAAGGCACTTACTGCTGAGTCTGATGACTCAAGCTTGATCCCCGGAACTAACATGGTGGAAGAAAGAGAAATCAGTTCCCTCAAGTTGTGCTCTAATCTGCACACATGGCATGGCATGCATACATATATGTGCACATGTGCAAATACACAAACAATGTACACATATACATATAAACAAATAAGAAAATTCTTGGAGGAAATACACATTCTGGATTTTTGTGTCTCAGAACAGCGTATCCCTTTGGATGAAAATGTAATTTGTTATCTTTTAACAGAAATTAAAGATTTATTATGATGAGTCTTTAAACAGTTTTAAATTTTAGTTAAAATATTTCATATTTTACATTGAATATTTTGCATTGAATATTTTCTTTATCCCCTCCACATGCTCCCACTCTTTCATTTTTCATATTATCTCCTCTCATTTGCCTCTTTTGTTATCCCAGAAAACTTTACTTTTATTTTATATATGTGTGTATATAATATATATTCACAATTTTATGTGACTACATAAAGTCTAGGAATCACAAATAATAGAAAGGTATGACATTTGTCCTTTTGAGACTGTGTCAATTCACTTAATAGGATTAGGAGATGTTGATGCGATTCCTATTTCACAGATGTAAAGACTGAGCCGATGAGAATATGTGAGAGTGTGTGTTGGATTTAAATTCTTTTTGTATTTTTAGCAATGTGTTACTATTTCTCTGACTTTATATGTGTGTGTGTGAATATATATATACAGGTGCTGTTGAGGCCAGAGAAGGCAATGCATCTCCTGCAACTGGAATTAAACGTGAGTGTGGATCCTCTGGAGAAGCAGCCCTCTGAACTGTTATGTCATCCCTCCAGTCCATTTTTAATATTTTTGACATTTCAAGTGCTGGTTTTAATACAACCCCTGATCCTGAATACATGACAATGTATTATAGCCATCTAATTTTTAGGAATCTTGGGGTTTGAAGGAGAAATTTCTCCCACAGTCTCATGTGTTAGAACTCTCCGTGCACAGCTGGTGGTACTGCTTGGGAAGGTTATGGAAGCTTTAGGGGGTGGAGTCTTGCTGGAGGAAGTAAGCTCAGTTCCAATTTCCTTCTAATTCCTGACAAGCAATAAAGTCAGTCAACCTCCTGCTCCTACTACAGTGTGTTCTCTGCCATGACAGATTATGCCCTTCAAACAGTAAGCCAGAACAAACCCTTCCTCCCCAAAGCAGCTTCTTGTTGGGTACTTTATCACAGAAATGAGAAAACAATTTATACAAACTTTTATGTCATCAGATTGCACAGTTCACAGAACTGGAGTCAAACACAAGTGGCTTACAAGCACCGAACCGAGTGGTGAGCAGATGGATTTTCCTGCTCTACTTAAAGATGTTTCTGGTATCTTTGGCAGTTGCCACAAGAAAATATTCTAGGACAGTTGGGGAAGAAATGCAGGAAATCCAGAAATGACTGGTTCATAGATTTTGGACAAATCATTCTTTAAAATTCTGCTAAAAAGATATGACAACACTCCTGTAGTTAGGAAGTTGATCCACATTTACACTGGGGGCATACTAGTAATTTAGCAAGAATATCTTATCTATTTAATTTATTTAATAAGATTTTTTTCTTTCCTGCTTTCCTTTGTTTTCTAGCTTCTTGTGTAGCCCACGTTAACCTCAAATTCTCTATGTGACCAGCAGTGACCTTAAACTCCTGGTCCTTATGCCTCTGCTTCCCAAGTTACAAGCAAGAACTTCACTGCTCAATTTGTGTGATGCTGGTTCGAGCTCAGAACTTCATGAATGCTAGGCAAGCATTTTGTCAATTAAGCTATATCTTCAGTGCCAAAAATAGTTATTAAAACAAACTCATTGATTACTAGATAAACTAGATATTTATTGCTTAATGTGCTGGATTCTCATACAGCAGCTACTATAGACTAAATAAATCCCCTTGGTGAACAGTCTTGATGAAATATACCATTGTCAGGAATGCTGGATGATTTAGAACTTAAGGGCCAATAGGATTCAGAAGTAGGTTCTAAGGGATGTTTTAGGATAAAGGGTGCTAGGGAAGTGTTTGAGAATTAAAGATTCCTCAGTGACCTGGGAAGAGCCTGTGAGATCCATTTGGGACCCTCTGGGATTTTTCATCTGCCCTCTGCCATTCTTTTAAATGACTGGGAGAATCTCAACAGAGGGGAATTCATACCTGTGGGTGCTGAAGAAGTGTGTGGCAGTCCTTCAGAAACAGTAGCCATCACTAATGCTGAAAAGCAAAATCAATTTAATTGTTTTGACTGGGGAACCTTTGCATGGGGGGGATACAAGGAAGCAGCCCCTTCCCTGTTCATCCCTAAATGAAGGTGAATTTCAAGCATGGAATAGAGATTCCAGTTCATGGGCTTACTCACGAATACTGGAGCCTCAGGATACTCACTCCCATGGGTAGTGGCCAGAGTCTGCTGCATATAACCTGCATAGATAACAACAAAAGAGTGGAAATGGGGTGGGGTTGAGAAGCAGTGGTGTGGGAGGAAAGGAGCATGACTCTGAAATATAGCTCACCATTGACATAGAGACTGTTCTTGTCCAAGGTGTAGGGCCCTAGCTTCATGATGCCTTTGTTCAGTCTTCTCAGCTCCCAGTACAGACGCTTTCTGTCCAGCCCTCCACTAGAAGTGTTGGGCTGGTAGGTGCAGATGGCATCTACTCCTGTGGCTGTTCCATTGTTCTCAGGCCTGGGAAGGGGAGACAGGGGGATTGGTATTAAATAGATTACCTAGGGAGGGATCCAGAAGTGTCTGTCATAAGACTGGAAAGGGCCAGAAGAAAGAGAGCATCTGGTATATTTGCTGAAAAGATAGGCTTACCCTCTCTGAATGTACTGATTTCTAGTAGCTACCTTGTGGCCGTGAGCAGACATGGAGTGAGACTGAGAGACTTAAACCTATGTCCTCATGTCACAGGGTCTAGAGAGCTCCTATTTACAATGGATGAAAACTGGGATTGGGAGTGGGAAATTGTCTTAAGAGATGTCCTATGCACTGAACTTTAAAACAGCACCTGCAATCTTCCTTTATTCCAAAGTCAGGGATAAAGGAAGGAATTAAGAGTATTAGGATTCTGTATGTGGTGGTTTGCAGGCTTTGGGGATAGCTGAGGAGGCAATGTGGTACGTGTCCTAAATTCCCCAAAGTTGAGGACATAAAGACAGAAGGTAAGCTGACTAAACTGGTTTAGAAATACTTGAGGAAAGACTGCCTGCTCCAGTGTATGTGTGTGTGTGTGTGTGTTCATGCTTATGCATGTATATGGAGGTTAGAGAATAACTTGAGTGTTTATTCTTTCTTGGGAGCCATCTGTTTTTTGAGATAGATCTCTCTATGTCTGTCTGTCTATAGACCTAGTGCTCACTGATTTTTGGAATGTTGATTGGTCACCCAATCCCAGGGACCCTCCAGTATTTACTTCTCCAATGCTGGGTTTACAAGCACATGCCATCATCACTGGCTTTTAAGGTGGGTGCTGGGAATCAAACTCAGGTCCTCATGCTTGGTCAGCAAGTACTTTATTGACTGTACTCTCTTGCAGCCCCTAGACTATTATTATAAGGTCTCACCTGAGCATTGTTAGTCTGCATCCAGAGTACAGGTGGCTGACACTGGTTTTACTAAATAATGTTCCAAGCTGTGGAGAAAAATAAGAGGCATGAGAACAATGCTGAAAATTTAGGGTTAGGGCCTTCTTTGTTGTGACATGGTTTGGTGAGTGCAGCTTCCATCTGTGGGTGGGCCTTTATACACTGGGGTGGGTATCTCACCAGGCTCTGCAGAAGTCTCTCAGTGACATTGAACTTCCTAGATCCTGGGTGACCCATATCATCCACATACTCCAGATTAGTGGCAGTGAAGTTGATGGTAAAAGGCACTGGAACAGGGCCTGCTGCTGCCAGAGGAGGAAAGGGATGTGAGAAACACATTATCTGAACTTTATCTTATTTTCTCTTTCTGAACTTGACTTGGGGCATACAAATGCATCTTCTATCACTCAGAAGGGGTTTCTTCAAAAGTGGACAGTTTCCACCTAGAGAAGACTCAAACATCAGTTTCACCTGATAGTTATCAAGGATGAATAGGATTCTTCTAGGCTGGTAAATATACTATCAACCAGAAAGGAATTATATTTGACTCTCAGGAGAATGAAAGTCACATAAGCATTCTCTTTTTTGAATTTTTGTTTAAACCAAATGTGTTCTTGACATGTGCTTATTTATTCACTGAATACGTGTGTGTGTGTGTTTAGATATAGATGTGATTGAGCATATGTGCATATACTTGTGTGTGTGCATATGCACATAGGCTTGGGGGTCATGTGTATGTGGGAGTGCACACATGTGGATGACAGAGGACAGCCTAGATTGCTTTCCTTCAGGAATTGTCCATCTTGCTCTTCTTGAGACAAGGTCTTTCACTGGCCAGGTACTCATCAAGTAGGCTTGACTAGTGAGTTCCAGTGATCAAGGCTCTATCTCCCATGAGCTAGGATTGTTAGTACCTGACACCAAATCACTTTCTTCCTTCTTTTTCTCCTTCTCTCTCCCTTCTCTCTTCTTTCTCTCTTCTCTCTCTCTCTCTCTCTCTCTCTCTCTCTCTCTCTCTCTCCTCTAACACACATAGGGTTTGGGAAATTGAATTCTGATTCTCAAGCTTCCAAAGAAAGCACTTTAGAACTCAGCTATCACACCAACCCTTAGTATTATTTTTATTTTTATTCTTTTTTTTTTAACTAAGATTTTTTTTTTATGGTGCACCTTCTCATGATGTTCTGGCCAGAACTCCAAATAAGAACTTTGGAAAAAACCCTACCAACTGCTTGAAAATCATTTGCAACTATACGAGACAGTAATCTTGAAACTCAACCATCACTTTACTTTTGCAGGATCCCATAAAAAAACATTACCTCCATGACAGTGGGAATCAATTCTAGAGGACAACATACCCTCTCACAAAAAAAGTTTGTCCTTAGTGTTGGGAACACTGTTGAGTGGTTGTTGATTATTACTTATATCAGGTGGAGGGTTGGGGTGGAAACTATGTAGGTTCAGAGATTTTTTTTTTAAAAAAAGGGATAATAATAGTGGATAATAAAGTGAATACTTGTGAGCTATTATTTATGGATAATTTACATTGGTATAGTTTTTTGTATATTGATACAAGCTCAAATTATATTTGTTATTCCTGTTTACAGTATTTGTTAACCTATGCAAAGTTATTCTTTCAGATTGTATATATGCACGTTTCCACCTCTGTTTAAGACATTTCGTATATTGATATAACTTTTAGGATATAGTTTTGTATTATATTATATATTATTGTTACCTCTGATCAAGATACTTATACATTGTTTACATTTTTAGGTCATTGTCCTGATTTGCTACACATTTGTTTACAGATTATTTAATATTCTGACTTGAAGTCTTAGTCTTTAAGTTATACAGGTATTAAATATTATAGGTCAACCATTGTTCATGTTTGTTATACATGTAATCAGATTAATTAGGTCTTTAGATACATAGAGATTGCTTTCTGCCTAGATAGCTAACCTTCAGTCACTTCAAGGATCTGTAGACCATGATATTTAAATAACTTAGGGTTCTGTTGATACTAGACATGATTGTTCCTGACAGCACCAATCTACTTCTGAGACAATGTTAAGCACCAAAAATACTCCACTCAGAGTTTGCTTTCTTCTTAGAACAATTAACTTTTGGGCAAGGAACTGCCCATGCCTCAACCACTGACAAAGTACACGGTATCAGGATTGGATAAGCAGAACACAAGGAAAAGAACTGTCAAATTTTGCCAAGACAGTTCTAAAAAGTTTCCTGCCTCTAAAAATGGTCTGCCAGTTATGCTAGGCCTTATTCAAAGTTGGTTGCTTTAACGTTGCCAATGAGCCTTTCGATGTTTGCTCAGATAGCCAATTGTCTCCATCATATACTGCTTGCTTTGGAAGCCATTTGATTGCACTTCCTGCCTACTCAAGTAATATTTCCCTTCTCAGGTCTTTGATGGGGCTGAAGATTAAATAGTCGCAGTTACCTTCCTCTAATGATTTAGCCAAGCTTATTTCTGATGCAAGACTTAGACTCTTTGGAATAGAATGTTTATTAAAACATTAGTCATGTGTTCCTTCTTAACATTGTTTATGTTGGTTGTAATTTTATACTTGATATCTGTTCCCATTGTATATAGTTTTGTATTGGGTTTGGATCACTCTTGTTTAGACAAAAGGGGAAGGTTATGGGGAAGCTTTGTTAGCCAATTATCTTTAAAAGTGGGACCAAGTTAGGTGTGGCTTTCTGGGCCCCCGAGGAAAAAAAATGGGCACATGGCCCAAGTGGTCTCTCTCTCTTGATGCCCTGGCACCACAGCTGAGCTTTGACTTCTTGTTCCTGTTTTATGAGTTTTCTCCTTATAGTAAATAAAAACATAATTGTTTTATCTTTTAGCTAGCCTGGTTATTTCCCAAATCAAGCTAACTTCTACAATTTTTGATACAATCGTTTTTCAGTTTTCACAGCTATTCCCATTCCCACTCCCTCCCCTTCTCTGTGCCTCCTTTCTCCCCCTCCTTATCACCCATCCACTCCTCAGAAAGGGTAAGGCTTGCCATGGGGAGTCAACAAAGTCTGACACTTCACTTCAAAGCAAGACCAAGTCTCTCTGCCCTATAGCTAGGCTAAGCAAAGTATCCCTCCAAAGAGAATGGGCTCCTAGATGTCAGTTTAAACATTAGGGATAAATTCTAGTCCCTCTGCAAGTGGCCCCACAGACTGCCCAAGCCTCAATATTGTTCCCCACATTCAGTAGAAACATTATGTTGGTAATTTGTGTTAGAGATCAGTTTAATGAGCTTACACACAACAGTTTTGTTATTACGGACCAACTAGTTATTACAATATCTATTTTACAAATTCAAAAACGGAGGCAATGAGGACTGGCAAAAATGGCTTAGTGGATTAAGCTGCTGGCTGCCAAGCCAGACAACTTAAGTTGTATCTCTGAAACTCACATGGCAAAAGGACAGAACAAACTCAAGTTGTCTTTTGACTTCCAGTTGTGCATAATGATATACACACATTAATCAAGCAACAAGTAAATGTAAATAAAAAAATCCTGAGCCAATGAGAAATTAAATAACTTGCCCAGATCACAGAATACAGCTTGAATACAGGATATATTACTGTACTATTCATATATTAATTTCATATACATGGGCAAATAGAGGTCAAAGTGCAACCTGGAGGAGTTGGTGTTCCCCTTCTACCATGTGGGATCCAGGGATTGAACTCAGATTTGTAGCCTTTACCCATTGAACCCATTACAGGCCCGGTATTTTTTAAATAATTCTCACAATAAAAACATTACAGATAAGGTGGAAATAAATGAAGAATATAATCCTGAAAATAAAGAAATGATTTGTCATGGTCCATCAATTATGGACAAATCAAATTTTCTTTTAAAAGCCTGATGAAAGAATATGACTATAGAGGGGCTGGAGAGATGGCCCAGTGGTTAAGAGAACTCACTGTTCTTCCTGAAGACCCTGGCTCAGTACCCAGCACCCACACAGCAACTAACAACTCTTTGTAAGTCCAAGATCTGACACTTTCACACAAACATACAGGCAGACAAAACACCAATGCAAATAAATAAATGCAATCCTCCAAAACAACAACAACAACAACAACAAAAGACTATGACTAGCCGGGCGATGGTGGTGCATGCCTTTAATCCCAGCACTCGGGAGGCAGAGGCAGGAGGATCTCTGTGAGTTCGAGACCAGCCTGGTCTACAGAGCTAGTTCCAGGACAGGCTCCAAAAAAAAAAAAAAAAAAAGACTATGACTATAGTTTCTACACATAGTACAGGATCTTATGCATATTTATATTAAGGAATATAGTTATGACAAATTATCCAGAATAAAAACTTATCTATTCAGTAACAGGAGTCCTTTAAGTAAGCTGTATGAAAATTGCTTAGTCAATAAACTAGGAATTTGATCTTTTGCTGAGATGTTTGATATCACACCAGTGACTGCACACTAGATATCTAGTCTCAGCCAACAGCCCTGCCTGTATTCATCCTTCTAAGGGCTGGGGAAGGATTTAGACATCCATCGCCACCAACAAGCATCAGAAAACAATTACCAGAGATTCTGAATACCAGGAAATAGAATTAAAGGGATTCTTGGTGGCCTAGGATGAACCTGTGAAAGTCATCAAGAGTTAACCTTAGGATCCTCTGGAACATGTCACTTCCTCCACTCCTCCTCCTGACTCTAAGACTCTAGAACCACTAGGAATGTCTTCAGAGAGGAGAATTCCTACCTGTATGGCTGGGAGAGCTGGTAGTCAATGCTGTAGAAGCCGTGGTCATCACAGAGACTGTGGAGGTAAATTCTCAGATGATTAGAGTAGAAACCCCACTAGCTTGGAGATATCAAGGAAAAAATGCAGATGCTGGGGTTAATTTTGTGTTTGTCTCTGTCCATCACAGGCTAGAAATGAGGTTGTATCATTTAGCAATTTGCTTTGAATTGAAACACTTATTCGAAAATGGAGAGGGGAGGCTCATGAGCCTTAAAAAAAATAAACAAACTTCACAAGTCTGGTAAAGCTAAAGCTAAAGATTCTTGAGAGGCCAAGGTTAAAGAGGCCATGGAAAACATTTAAGGAAGAAAGTTCTGACCAGCTGAGCTGCCTAGGAGAGACTGTCTGACCTGGTGAGACTCCTGCAAGTCAAGTAGGAGCTCCAGGGATCCAGTTTCTCTGAGTTTTGACCCATGCTAGGTGGCTATTGACAATGAAGCTGTTTTTGAGTCACCTCTGCTTTTGTTGAGTAACCCTAATAAATTCACTGGTTACCCAAGTTGGATGGTAGTGTAGTTGCTACTTCGGTGCATAATCAGTTCTCTCTCTTGGATGAGTAGATGTTTGTATGTCTCCTCTCTCCAGGGAAAGTCTCACACCACAGTTTGGGAAATGGACATTGGGCCTTTGACTTCTTTCACTCCAAAGATGTAGGAATCATAGGCATGGTAGAGATTTATAAAAACTGAGAATACTCACTCTTTGTGGTGGTAGCCAGGTTTTGATGTGTGTAACCTGCAAAGAAAATGAAAGACTGAAAATGAAGGGGGATACTGATATGGAGGTATCATATCAAAGTGAAGGTGGCCATTGCTCACCATCAACATAGAGACTGTTCTGGTCCAGAGTATAATGGCCCAGCCTGCTGACACCATACGTCAGCCGGCTGAGCTCCCAATACATCATCTTTCTGTCCAGTCTCAGGCCAGTGGGGTCGAGGTGGAGAGTGCAGACCGCATCCACTCCTGTGCTTGCACCATCATTTTCAGATCTGGGAAGGACAGGTAAAACAATGGACAATAAAGGACTCCTTAAGAAAGCATCCTGAAATAGGATAGGGTAGGGAGTAGTCAGAGTAAATGAAAAGGCTGATAGAGGCCCAGAGATCAACAGATGGGGTAATTTGCCATCAGTCCTGACAACTTGGCTTCCATCCTTGGGACCCACATTGTAGTGTCAATAAATTATCCTCTGGTTCCCACAAGGATGCCATGGTACCGGTGTGTTCATACACACACACACACACACACACACACACACACATGCACAAATACATGCATGCATTTACATGTGCATACTGGACAAATAAGCAATTTTTACAAAGAAAAAAAAAAGATTGGAAAAGACCAGAAGCCAGAGCTAGATTCGGAGCATATTGATTTCTCCTAGACTGACATAATCAGTAGTCATGGAGTTATGAATTTTTATCAAATACATGAATCAAATCTTCACTCTCATGTTTTGGGATCTGAGGAACTCACATATCTAAGACAAGTGAGAAATGGATTTAGGCCTAACAGCAAGTGGAAAATATTTTTTTTTCTTCACAGTAATCAGAGAACAGAATTTTAAATGTGTAAGGCAGCCTCTTTTTATTCCAAAGGCAGAAAATGGGATTGGGAATTCAGACAGGATAACCAGGAACAGTAAAATTGTGATGATGGTCTACTAGTATGGATATAGTTGCGGGGACGTGGTAGGATTGGAAGATACCTTGTGTCAGGGCTTCCTCACTTCACCTGAACAGAAGCTACGCAGAAAAACAACAGAAGGAAATTCGGTACATTTTAGCTCTCACACCCCATTTCCATATCCCCAAACCCACCTGAGAGAGGCCAGGACACAGCCAGAATACACGGGACCAACACTGGATTTTTGGAACAAGGGCCTCAGCTGTGGAAGAAGGTTAGAGGAGTGAGAGGAAGAAACGAGCATGTAAAAGTGGGGCTGACATGAGACTGGCAAGGTCCCGAGACATGTCATCCTTGGGGTCAGGCTGAGATGGGCTAGGTCTTCTTGTAAGATTTGATCTTTGCGGTTAGGGATAAACTCTTCTTCCAGTGGCTTGTGTAACAGGGACGTATGGCTTACACCTATGTGCCGTGTTAGATTCAGTGGGCAGGACTCTCACCAGATTCCAGGGGCTTCTGTGACAGGTAGGTATGGTTTATACCTGTGTGCGGCACTGGGTGCAGTGAGCAGAACTGTCAGCAGCTTCCAGGGGTTTGTGTGACAGGTAGGCATGGCTTACATCTGTGTGTGGTATTAGGCGCACTTAGCAAGACTCTCACCAGCCTCTGCAGGATTCTCTCAGTGATATTGAACTTCCTGGATCCAGGGCGACTCATGTCCTTCTCAAACGCCAAGTTAGTGATGGTGAAGTTGATAGTAAAATGCACCAGGACAGGGACTGCTGCTGCAGAGGGGGTGTAGGAAAGACACACACTAAGACAATTGTTTTTCTCTGAACTTGAACGTGGAGCATCAGCTGTGTATAGTCTTGCACAGAGGAGATTCTTCTTCTAGGAAACACGTTTCCTTGGAAAGAAGACCCCATACCTTCAAATAAATAACAAAGGATTGGTGTGTGTGGCTGACTTCACCATGAAGCAGAAAGAAAAGACATATGTCTCTCCAGTTGGCAAAATCTCTATAGGTTTCTTTCCTTCCTGAAGTTCCTTTAAAAAGCCAAGCTTTTCTGAAGTCTCCATACTTACTGGTTTAAAGCAATTCTTCAGCGAAGACTGTGGCAGCATTTACTTCCTCATCCAGCCCCTTTGGTATTTTTCTTCCTCAGGCACTGTCTACTTTGTGTTTTAAGACCAAGGTGTAAGGTGCCTAGCTAGGAGATATCATTGGGCAGCCTGCTCAGTTCCCAGTACAGTGCTCACTGTTCAGGCCAGGTTGTAAGACTCGTGAACCCCCAATTCAATTAGGCTGGCTGACCAGTAAACCCCAAGGATCCTGCTGTTTATGTAGGATTACAAATGTGCACCACTATGCCTGGCTTTTTACATGGTTGCTAAGGATCAAACTCCAGGCCTGATGCAAGCACTTTACTAAGTGCTATATCCCTAGCCTGACTTAGGACAAGGGCATAAGTTTCTGTGCAGCCATAGCTGGAGAGGTCAGTAGAAATGAATGCAGGGCTTTTGTTTTTACTTCACGGGGCTGTGACTTACAGAGTAGAAGATACTTATGGAGCCTCATAATACTCACTAATGGGTATGATGGACAGGTTCTGGTGTGTATAACCTGAAAAGATAATAAAAGAGCGAGAAGGGGGCAGGGTGAGGAAGTGGAGGCTGGGAAGGGAGGATGTATATTCTGCAATAGAGCACATATGGCCACTACTCACCATTGATGTAAAGGCTGTTCTGGTCTAAGGCATAAGGGCCCAGCTGGGTGATGTTATTGGTCAGCTCGCTCAATTCCCTATATACCTGTTCATTGTCCAGCTCAGACTCAGTGGGGTCTGGACGGTGAGTACAGATAGCATCTACCCCTGTGGCTGCTCCATCGTTCTCAGACCTGAGAAGGAGAGATGAGGAGAATGATGATAAAGAGATTGCCTGGAACGCATCTTAGATTGATGGGGGCAGGCGAGGAAGGAGCCAGGGGAGGTGAGATGACTGGTGTAGAGGTGATACCTCAGGCCTAGTGTCTCTGAGTGTACTGACTTCCGGTAGCCCGTGAACCCAAGCAGACATGGAGTAAAAAATTTTTATTGACTGTGAGACACTAATCTGCATTCTCATGGTGTGAAGAAGAAAGAGTTCATGTTTAAGACAGATAAAAATTTGGCAATAAAAGCAAAGAGAAAAGACATTAGTGTCTGTACTGGTTAGCTTCAACTGTCCACCTGAATCACTGGGGAAAAAGAGTTTAAATAGGGAGTTATCTCCATTGGTTTGACCTGTGGTCATGCCTGTGTGGACTGGTCTTAATCAAGCTAGTGAATGCGGGAATACCTAGCCCATTGTGGTCAGCAACATACTCTAGGCAGCGGACCCTGAACTGTATAAGAATGGAGAAGTGAAGCTAAGTACAGGCGAGAGAGCAATCCTGCTTTTATTTCTCTGTTCTTGATCATGGGTGTGATGTGCCTGTCTCAGTCATCAGTGGTTGTAACTTCCCTGTCACTTGAAAGTATGAGCTAAAATAAGCTATTTCTCCTCTCAGTTGCTTTTGGTTGAGGTGTTTTATCACAGTGACAGAAATGAAACTAGAATAATCGTCTAAGAGAAATTCTGGGGATAGAATTTAAGGCTCCCTTTTTCCACAGTGAGGGAATGAAGTTGAAATTGAGAAAGGATGAACAGGAAAGGCCATCAACCTGCTGCGGTCTGCTGCTGTGGGGCTGGCTCAAGTAGCAGTTGTTGGGTTTGAGGACACTTTGGATGCTGGATGCAGTGCTTCCTAAATGCTGCATGGGTAATGTACAGACAGGAGAAAAGGAAAGACCCCAACCACACTTTGGGTCTGGGACGCATTGAGGATCTCTGGCTTGTTTAATTTGAGAACTCACCTGAGCAAGAACAGTCTGCAGTCAGAATACAGAAGGCTGATGCTCGTTTTATTGAACAAAGACCATAGCTGTGGAGAAAGGGGAGAAGGCTGTGACTACAGGGATTGAGGGAATAACAACTGTTTTTGAGATGTGTGGAGCTAGCCTCCAAGAGCAAAGCTGGAATCTGTGGAACAAGGTTGAGGTTGGTGGGGCTTTCTGCAAAGTGCCATCTAACTGATAGGCATTGGCTTACATATGTGGGAAATTATGCATTTACTGGGCAGAGCTCTTACCAGTCTTCGGAGGATCCTCTCCGTGGCATTGAACTTCCAGGATCCAGGTTGACGCATGCCCTCCTCATACTTGAGGTTAGTGATGGTGAAGTTGATGGTGAAAGGCACCAGAGGAGAGCCTGGCACTACAATGGGCATAGGAGAAAGATATTATGAGCTGCTGCTTCCTCTGTGAACTTGGGTATTTTCCAGCACTAGATTCTTCCTCTAGGATCACAGGTTCCCAGGAAAGGGGGTGGATCCAGCATCACCTGCCATGTACCAAACCTGAGTAGAATTTCTCTGTGGGGGTTAGTACCCCATGGTGCAGACACTGAACACATCAGACCCTGTGATGATAAAATTCCAACATGCATCTTTGTTTCCTAAGTTTTCAATTAATCCAATTTGTTTTTCTGCAATGCAACCCATGTACATACTTTTCCTTCCTTCCTTCCTTCCTTCCTTCCTTCCTTCCTTCCTTCCTTCCTTCCTTCCTTCCTTCCTCCCCCTCTCCCCCCCCCACCTCCATGTCTCTCTCTCCTTTCATAAAGGTAAAGGGTTTAGAATCTGTGAGATGACTCAGCAAAATCACTTGCTCGCTACGCTGGATTTGATACCCAGGACCCACACACTAGAAATAAACTGCCGGTTCCCATAGGCTGTCCTCTGTTCTCAACACTCATGCCATTGTTTATGCACACACATGTCTGTGTGCACACACAAGCAAAAATTAATTTTTAAAATATTTTTAAAGGCAGAGGGTGGACTAGAGAGGCAGTTCAGTGACTAAAGTCAAGAATGAGGATCAGGGCTTAATTCTGGAACTCATTCACACACAACAAAAGCCAGACATGGCGGTATATACTTCTAATTCCAGTGTTGGGGAGGTGGGAACAGGTGTATTTCTGGGGTTCATTGACCAGTCAGCTTCTCCTACTTGGTGAGTTCCAGCCCATTGAGATGCCTTGTCTCAAAAGACAAAGTCTAGAAGGCATCTGAGGAATAACACCTAAGGCTGGCCTGCAGCATGCACAGGCATGTGCACATACGTGCAAGTTACTCCCGAGTGTGCATACACATGCACACAGGATAAGAACGATCTGAAGAAATACATTGGGGCTATACTCTATTTTACATGTGTTCCTTAAATTGGAGCCATTGATTTGGTGGGAGATGATATTGGGAAGCTTATTTTATATATATAAAATTTGAGCCAAGAAGAAATTACTCATGTAATCTCCAAACTGGGTCTGAGTCAAGCCCAGCCTTTGTGGCCCCAGTATGTTTATCCTCGGATCTTTTACCAAGGTCCATGGACAGGTCCAGATGATACTGAAACCTCAATTTTCTTTGTCTTTTTAAAATTTTATTTAATTATTTGTTTTGTTTTGCATTTTACACACCAACCACAGTTCCCCTCTCTCCCTCCCTTCCTCCCACTCTTCTCCCACCTTTCCCTAATAGTCCCCCTTTTATGCTTCAGAAAAGGTAAGGCTTCCCAAGGGGAGTCAACAGAGTTTGGCGTATCCAGTTGAGACAGGACCAAGGCCCTCTGGCTGTGTAAAGGCTGGGAAAAGTGTTCGTCTATGGGAAATGCGCTCCAAAAAGACGGCTCATGCACTAATGATAAATCCTAGTCTCACTGTTAGTGGGCCCACAAACTGCCCAAGCCACAGATCTGTCACCCACATTCAGAGGGCCTAATTGAGTCCTATGCAGGTTTTCTAGCTATCAGTCCAGAGTGAATGAGCACCCACTAGCTTGTGTCGGGGGCGGGGGAGGCAGAGAAGGGAAGCAAGGAAAGAGATATCTTGAAGAAGGAGCCATTCTGGAGTTAAGGAGAAATTTGGTGCTAGAGAAACTCCCAGGAATCCACAAGGATGACCCCAGCTAAGACTCCTAGCAATAGTAGAGAGGGTGCCTGAACTGGCCTTCCCCAGGAATCAGATTGGGGAATGCCCTAACTATCATCACAGAACATGCATGCAGTAACTGATGGAAGTAGATGCAGAGAAACCTCAATTTTCATAAGTAATCAGTGACCAGTATACCCTGGGTACATGTTTGTGTTTGCTAGAATTTAGAGCGGACTGCAGTTCTGGCCACGCCCACTGGCAGCAGCGTCTTTCTTTGCAGCAGTCATTGTACTGGAAATGAGAAGCTCCCTACAGAAAGCCTGTCTGTGAATTTCTAAGCCCCTAATAGACTCCTCAGGTTCTCAGATTCCAGGAGAGTTGCAGACAATATTCCCCACCCACCCCAGGCAGCTCACAGATTTGAAGATGCCACACGCCAGCATGTTCAGAGCACTATTAGTGCTGACACGTTCCACACAGTACACTTGAAACTAGCTGTGTGCCCCTCTTCTCACTTCCTCCACACCCCAAGAGTCACACATTCTTTCTTGGAAATGTAAAGTCCCTCTCCTTCCTCTCCCTAGGAATCAGGGACAGCCTGATGCCCATCTAGGAATCGGGGACAGCCTGACTACATGAATCACCCTCTTCCTCTTAGATCTTTAAGAAAGGATCCTCACTGCACTTCATGGACTTGATCTTTCATCAGAGCCACCACTGTGCTGTCTGTCCAAGGGACTGAATAATTACTGTTCTAATGTGTCTCCTACCCTAAATCACGGTCTGCCTCAGCATTCACCTTGAACCTCACACCTTAGCACTTTCAGCAATGTAAAACAAGAGACTAGAATAAGGTAAGAACAGTGTCTGCTCTTTCAGAATCTTCAACAGAGCCAGTGCACAGTTATGAGAAGCCTGGGTATGGGATACTGAACTTCAGCCGAGGTAGAGCCCACCCATACTAGATGACATTGGATTTCTCAGGTCTGTGTATAGAGTATGTTCTCATTTCTCCTCAGTTGAAAACAAAGGGGCGGTGGAGATGGCTCAGTCAGTCCAGCGCTTGTCTCACAAACATAAGGGCCTGATTTCAGATCCTCAGAACCTATTCAAAAACCTGGGTGCAGTGTTATACTACACACCTGTGGTCCGAGCACCGGTAAGACAGAGACAGGAGGATCTCTGGAACTTGTTGGCTGGATGATAGTAAAACTGAATCGGTGAGCTACAAGTTAGTCAGACACTATCTTAAAAAAAAAAATGTGGTGAGCATATGGGAACAACACCCATCATTGATCTTTGGCATGCACATGCATACACAAATATCTACACAACACACACACACACACACCCCTAAGAATGTGGGGAGCCAGACTGATCCAGGTCTTTCTCAGAGTCCCTAATGAAAGGACAGAAGAAATTTTACTTCTGTGTCCTTGTCTGGGAATGGACTTGGCAAGGCCAGTCTGATGCTAGAGTCAGTGTCTCCGAGGAGAAGTTGAGGTTGATACCCTTTTTTTTTTCTGGGCTGTTCTTACCCTAAGTCCTAAAGCAGCTGTATCTGAAGTATCCTGTCCTCTTTCCCACCATTAACTGACTTAGCTCTCTGCTGACCTGGGACATTTCCCTCTTGGAAAGAGTATATATGATACCGACTTCGTAATAAACTTATTTGGCATAAGTCATCAGGTTATGCAAAACTTCCTGGTTCCAGTTATTTTTTTTTTTTTTTGTCTTCTTATTTCTTGTCTTTTTAAGTTCTCATTCCCAGTTCTTTAATTCAATATGTCACCGTTCGAGACCCTTATCTCTGCTGACTGAAGTCATTAGAAGCGTAAGTAGAGAGAAACTCATCCAGGTGCCCACAGGTCTCACCCTTGGGCCATCTATTTTAATTGAGCACTTATCCGTATAATTCTGTTTTTCTTCTCTGTCTGCCCTGCTCTCTGATCACTGTAGAGAGTTTAGAGTCCATACTATTTTGTTTATGTCACATCATCAGGACATTTAATACAGTAAGTTCTTAATACTTGCTGCATGCATGAAGGAATGAATGAATGAACCCTCAGGGCTTTCCTAATGTCCCACTGTCACAGGACATGAGAGGTTTGTAGGTATCACATTTTCCTATGTCTCCCCAGTGCTAAGATTCCAAGTACATATTACCATGCCCAGCTCTTTTTGTGGATGGTGGGAATTGAACTCCGGTCCTTGTGCTTGTATAGTAAGCACTTCACCAACTGAGCCATTTCACCCACCCTGTAGAAAGCTATCAAAAGTAGAAACTCATACCTGAAGAGCCCAAGACAGGAGTTGTACTTATTGCCAGGATACTAGTAGAAGCCATAGCAATTAGATGAAAATTAAAATGAATCAAAGAGAAAATAAATGCTTTTCTCTAGGTAAGGGCTCCTCAAAATATCGTAAAATCATTTTCACTGTCTGAATCTGTTCTGAGAGTATCTTTTCTGAGTAAGGGGATAAAGATTGCAGATGAGGAGCTGTTTGGGCTCCTTCCCTTTCTAGGGATGTGGCATACGGGGTAGAAAAAAAAAGGTGACATGATATGTGGGTTCAGATTACTTACTGCTAGTGTTTGAGGTCAGGAGCCAATGGTTATAACCTGTATAAAGAAAAATAAAGTTAATATTCAAGGAATAAGGAATGAAAAAGTTGCAAAAGCCTGGAATCAATAGGGTAGCATCTAAGGCCTTGAACATGCTAGGGAATTGATCTACCACTTATTTAGATCTCTAGACTTCTACTTGATTAAGACAGAGTTTCACATTATAGCCCAGATAGATCATGAACTCATGATCTTTATGCTTATAGCTCTCTGAAGTGGCTGAGATCACAGGTGTGTATCATCATATACAAGTAGCTGGAGAACAGGTATGTGTTGCCTGACCTAACTTGGATTTATTTTTAAATCATATTTACCCACTGCTCTCAAAATGCAGATTCTGGGGGCTAGTGCTAAAAATCAGAGGTCAATAGGAAAGCACTTGTCCAGCATACATGAATTCCAGCAACACACACACACACACACACACACACACACACACACACACACACACTGAAGACTCTGTAGACAAAATCTAGAAAACATAATTAGAGCATAAAGAAATTCTTTATCAGGTTGTCTGCAATTCACCTCATATCCACCCCCTGCTACTTTGGTATCTAGTCTCTCCTTTATTTCCAGAAAAGCTATTGCTTATCTTTTCCTATGTTTCCATCTTCCTTTCCTTTCTCTCCTTTCCCTCTTTTCTCTCCCTCTCTCTGTCTTCCCTTCCTGCTGTCTGTCTCTCCATCTCTCTGTCTTTCTAACTGTGTGTGTGTGTGTGTGTGTTCTAGAGCCTAGAATGTATAATGAACTCCCTGGGGAAGATACCTGCAGCTGCTCACACACTCACCATTGACATAAAGGCTGTTCTTGTCTAGGGTTATGAAGTCCAGCTGGGTGATGCCATGGGTCTCACGGCTCAGCTCCCAGTACAGCTGCTTTGGGTCCAGCCCTATGCCTGTGGGCTCAGATCGATGAGTACAGATCATGTTCACTCCAGTGGCTGATCCATCCTTTTCAGGTCTGGGCGCATGGAGATATAGGGATGAGAATAAATTCAAAGTGGATGATGAGGAGGCTTGTAAGATTGTCTGAGAGCTGGAGATATGGCCCAATAAGCTAATGGTGCTTGCCATTCTTGCAGAGGACCTGAATTTTGTTTCCAGCATGTCTGTTGGGCAATTCATAACCCCTGTGCCTGCAACTCCAGGACACATGATATCTTTTGGACTCCAGCAGCACCCACATGCATGTGTGCATGCATGCTCACACATAGACACACACTTACATATGAATGAAAATAAAATTCTTTTTTGAACAAAAAAGAATAATAATGTCAGAAAATACCACAAGAGGGCTGGGCAGATGGCGCTGTCAGTAACGACTTGCCCTGTAAACACTAGCACCTGAGTGCTGTTGGAGAGCCCGTGGTAAAAAGCTGACCCTAGTGGTATACACATGTAAGTCTGATGTTTGGGATGTGAAACATAGATCTCTGGGGCTCACTGGTCAGCCAACTTAGCCATATTGGAAAGTTCCAAGATAAGGAGAGACCTCAAAAACAAACCAAACAAACAAATGAAAAACAAGGTGGTGAGACCTGAGGGATAATAACTGAGGTTGACCTCCGGCCTCCACATGCATGTACACATAGATATGTATACAGCAATTCATGCATGAACACACACATACACACACACTACAGAGATAAAATTAGCATTCTTACAAGGCAAAAGAAATCTACAATTTATGAATAATAACTGGACAAAGAAGGCAAACTGGGACTAGAGATGGCAGAATTTTTATTCATGCACATTCAAGTTGTATCTCTTATCTGAAATGCTTAGGATGACTTTTTTTCAGATATGAGAACATTTCAAATTTTGGAATATTTGTATATATATTACCAATTTTTATCTTTAACATGAAGTTTAAATTTCTTTAATATTCAAAAAATGAATATCAACTTGACATACTAGAAATTCTAGGGTTAAAGACATGGCTCAGTGAGTAAGATCACTTGTTGCACAAACAGAAGACCCAACTTCAAATCCCAGAGGCCACACAAATGTCTGGACATGGCAGTACATATCTCTAATCCCAGAGCTAAGGGAGTGATCCCTGCATCTCATTGGCCAGCTAGTACAGATGGAAGGGTGAGTTTCAGGTTTACTGAGAAATTGTCACAAAAATAGAAGGTAGAGAAACAATTAAAGACATCCCATGTCAACCTTGGGCTAAACATACCAAGACAAGCAGGTATAGCAATACACTCTCATATCACACACACACACACACACACACACACACACACACACACACACACACACATTCATGTGAAGTTTTCTGGAGCTGTGAGCATTTTCGAGTTAGAAATGCTTAACTTTTGCCAGGGGTCCTACAACCTTTAATCTATCAGCTCAGAATAAGCCTAAAAAACAAACAGGTGGTTTAGCTCAATGACCTTGCAAATAACTTAGCTGTTTGATTCCGTAGTTCTTTTTTGTCTTAGCTGTGAGCACAGAACTCTTCAGCCCCCTTGAACAGTTCTAAGATGGGTTAGGAAATGAACATGGAAAGCAATGAGATAACTGGCTGGAGAAGAGTGTGGGTAGCATAACCCTAACAATGGAAGTTTTAAACCTGGGTAGAGTTGTTTGCAGCTGTCATTCCAGCATGAGCACTGACATCCAGAGATGGGAGACCTAGACAGGAGAATCAGCTGAAAGTTTGCATTTACAGCCCAGAGGCAGAAATAACAAGAGAAACTAACTCATAAACAAGAGGTAAGGAAGGTAATGACCCAATAGGTTGTTCTCAGACTGCTGCACATGCATGCACATGGGTAGATACATATGAATCTGCACACACACAAACACACACATGCAAATAAAAATAAATCTTTAAAAAGAGAGGGGAGCATACCACAAACAGTTTGGATTTACACATTTTCTTGAATGATGATTAATTTTGAACATTGCTGAGAAATTATCCCTGGGGGTATATTCAACATCTTGGTTAGGACCAGAAAGAAGTTCAGAGGTTAAGAACTGGGGAGAAGATTCAAGAGAAATAGCATCCCAGGTCCTCAGTGCTGCACTGATGGGAAGGTGGGGTATATGAGAAGCAAACAACCTAAGACTTACGTGAGCAAGATCAGTTGGCACCCAGAGTACAATGGACCAATGGTGGTATTCTTGAACACAGCAGCAAGCTGGAGAGGAAGGAGAGAGGAAAGAGTAAGAAACTGAAGGGGTGATTAAGAGGTAGAAGAGGGGGGTATTATATAAGAACTCTTACCAGGTACTGCAGGACCTTCTCTGTTTTGTTGAACTTTAAGGATCCTGAGTGTTTCATAGCTGGTGTGTATTGTAGATTTGTGATGGTGAAGTTGAGGGTAAAGGGCACCAGGGAATGGGTCATGGCTGCAAAGCCAAAAAGCAGAGAAAAGAAAATCTGTCTTCAGCTTGCATGGGATCCTTGTTTTACCCTTTCTATAGCCTACACCAGTCCTCCGAAAGTAAGGCCCTTATTCTCTGTATCACAAGACTCCACTCAATTTGTCCTTGAACAAATTCAAATAGGAATGTATACTTCCTCTGTATTCGTGTGTGTGTGTGTGGTATCTGAGTGTGCAAGAGAGTGGATGTCCTACAACCTTTACCAATTGCTCAATTGGCTCCTAAACCACAGCAGATATAAACCATAAATCAAACTACATGTGACCGCTCTTTATTGCGTCTCTGTTCATATAAATGGGAATGTGTGTGTATGTGTATATGCCTATGTATGGTGTGGGGGTGGGGTGTATGTATGTATGGAGGTGGGGAAGGACATCCTTGGATGTCAATCCTTGAACACTTTCTGTAACCTATTATTTTTATTTCTTTTTCAGGTATGGTCTCTTTAGTCTACATTTCACCAGATCAACTGTCCTAGTTAGCCAGACAGCCCCAGGAACCTACTTTTTTTTTTTTATCTCTGAAGCACTGAGATTACAAGTGAACCTATGAGTTCTGGGAAGAGAACTTGTTTCTTTAGATTTGTAAAGCAAGCACTTTATCACCTGACCTATCATTTTAGCCCTGCTGATTGCAATTTGATTTCCTACCTTTGTTCAACAAACATAACCAACAGAATACAACAGATGGAAAAGAGAATCTCAATTGTTGAAGTTACTATAGAGAAAATAGGTTCATCAGTCAAAGAAAATGTTAAATCTAACAAATTCTCAACACAAAACATTCTGGAAATCTGGGACACCATGAAAAGAACAAACCTAAGAACAATACAGGTAGAAGAAGGAGAACTCTAGCTCAAAGACACAGAAAATATATTCAACAAAATCATAGAAGAAAGCTTTTCAACCCTAAAGAAGGATATGCATATGAAGGTAGAAGAAGCTTACAGAAGACAAAACAGAGTGGACAAAAAAGTCCCCTTGTATATAATAATGAAAACACTAAACATACAGAATAAAGAAAAAATATGAAGCTCTGCAAAGCAAAAAGGTCAAGTAACATATAAAGGCAGACCTATCAGAATTACACCTGACTTCTTAATGGAAACCATGAAACCATGAAAGCTAGAAGCTCCTGGACAGATATGATGCAGACACTAAGAGATCACGGGTACAAGCCCAGACTACTATACCTGGCAAAGCTTTCAATTGCCGTAGATGGAGAAAACAAGGTACTCCATGACAAAACCAGATTTAAACAATACCCTTCCACAAATCCAGCCCTACAGAAAGTACTAGAAGGAAAACTCCAACCTAAGAAAGCTAACTGCACCCACAAAAACACAGGCAACAGATAACCTCACATCAGCAAACCATAAAGAACGGAAACACACAAACACTACCACCAAAAATTAACAGTAATTAGCAATTACTTAATATCTCTTAATATCAATGGACTAAATTCACCTATAAAAAGACACAGGCTAAGAGAATGGATATGAAAGCAGGATCCATCCTTCTGCTGTACACAAGAAACACACCTCAACCTCAAAGACAGACATTACCTCAGAGTAAAGGGTTGGGAAAGATTTTCCAATCATATGGACCTAAGAAACAAGTGGGTGTAACTCTTCTAATATCTAACAAAATAGACCAAACTAAAATCAATCAGAAGATATGGAGAAAGACATTTTATACTCAAACAGGAAAAATCCATCAAGATGAAGTTTCAATCCTGAACACATATATCCCAATAAAAGATCATCCACAACTGTAAAAGAAACATTACTAAAGCTTAAATCGCACATCAAACCCCAAACACTAATAGTAGGAGACTTCAACACCCCATTCTAACCAATGGTTAGGTCAACCAGACAGATGCTTACAAAAGAAGTAAGAGAACTAACAGATGTCATGACTCAAATGGATTTAACAGACATCTACAGCACATTCCACTGAAACACAAAAGAATATCCCTTCTTCTCAGTACCTCATGGAATCTTCTCTAAAACTGAGTACATATTTAGTAACAAAGAAAAAATAGGAATAACCCCCTGTATCTTATCAGATCACCATGGTTTAAAGTTAGAATTTAACAACATTAATCTCAGAAAGCCTACAAACTCATGGCAATTAAACGGTGCTATTTTGAACCATCCCTAGGTCAAAAATGAATAAAGAAATTAAAGACTTCCTATAATTCAACGAAAATGAAGGCACAAAATATCCAAACTTATGGGACACTATGAAAGCAGTGATTAGAGGAAAGTTCATAGCACTAAGTGCCTAAATAAAAAAAGTGGAGAAAGCTCACATTAGTGACTTAACAGCGCACTTGAAAGCTCTAGAACAAAAAGAAGCAGACTCACCAAGGAGGAGTAGATGACAGGAGATAATCAAATTTAGGGCTGAATAGAAACAAAGAACAAAATAGAAACAAAGAAAACAATCCAAAGATCAATGAAACAAAGAGCTGATTCTTTGAGAAAAGCAACAAGATAGACAACTATCCAAACTAACCAAAAGGCAGTGAGAAAATATTCAAGTTAACAAAATCACATATGAAAGGGGTGGCATAACTACAGATACTGAGGAAATTCAGAGAATCATTAGGTCATACTATAAAAACCTGCACTCCAAAAAAAAAAAAAAAAGGAAAATGTAAAAGAAATGGACAATTTTTGGATAGGTACCACATGACAAAATTAAATCAAGACCAGGTGAACAATTTAAATAGATATATAATATCCAAGAAGTTGAAACAGACATCAGAAGTGACCTAACCAAAAGAAGCCAAGAGTCAGATGGTTTCAGTGCATAATTCTACCAGAACTCCAACCAAAGAATGAATAAAAAAAATGCTGCAGTACACTTACACAATGGAGTACTACTCAGCAGTAGAAAATAATGACAACTTGAAATTTACAAATAGAAAACATCATATTGAGTGAGGTAACCCAGACCCAGACAGACAAATATCATATGCACTCACATATAAGTGGCTTTTAGACATAAAACCAAGAAAACCAGCCTACAATTCATAATCCCAGAGAACCTAGACAACAAAGAAGGCCCTATGAGAGACATATATAGATCTAATTTACATGGAAGTAGAAAGAGACAAGATCTTTGGAGTAAATTGGGAACATAGGGAACCATGGGGGGGGGCAGAGAAAAATATATAGCTCAATAAAAACAACACAATATAAAATAAAATAAATTGTAAAAATGGTGTATAGATCTAAAAACAGATTCTCAACAGAAGAATCTCAAATGACTGAAAGAAACTTAAAGAAATGTTGAAACTTCTTAGCCATCAGGGAAATGCTAATCAAAATGACTCTGAGATACCATTTTAAACCTGTCAGAATCAAAGACATCAATGATAGCTTATGTTGGAGAGGATGTAGAATAAGAACACTCTTCCATTGCTGGTGGAAATGCAAACTTGTACAAGCAGTCTGGAAATCAATATGGCGGTTTCTCAGAAAATTGAGAATCAACCTACTGCATGACCCAGCAATACCACTCTTGGGCATTTACCCAAAGGATATTCTGTTCAACTATATTCATAGCAGCATTATTCATAACAGCCAAAACCTAGAAAAAACATAGATGCCACTCAACTGAAGAATGGATAAAGAACATGTGATACACTTACACAATGGAGTACTACTCAGTGGCTAAAACAAAACAAAGCAAAACAAAAATAAACCCCATGACATCTTGAAATTTGCATGTGAATGGCTAGAACTAGGAAAAAAAACCACCCTGAGTGAGGTAACCCAGACCCAGAAAGATGAGCATGCTATGTACCAACTCACAGGTTAATACCAGTTGTAAAGCAAAGGATAAGGAGCTTATAGTTCATGACCCCAGAGAAGCTAAGTAACAAGGAGAACCGTAAGAGAAACATACATAGATTCCCCTGGGAATAGGAAATAGGCAAGATCACCTGACAAAATTGGGAGCATGGGAACTGGGGGAGAAATGAAGGTAGAAATAGAGGAAGAGAGAAGGTGAGGGGGAGGAGAACTCGAGGGAAAGGGGTGGTAGAGATGGGAGAAGGACAGAGAAGAAGAGCAAGGAGATATTTTGATTGAGGGTGCCAGAATGGGGTTAGCAAGAAACCTGACACTAAAGAAATTCCAGGGAAACCACAAGGATGACCCCAGCTAAGACCCTAAGCAATAGTGGAGAGGATGCCCAAACTGGCCTTGCCCTGTAGTCAGATTGAGGTCTATCTTAAATGTCATCATAGAATCATCATCAACAACTGATGGAAGCAAATACAGAGACCCAGAGCAGAGCACTGAACTGAGCTCTTAAAGTCTAGATGAAGAGTGGGAGTATTAAGAATAGGAACAAAGTGGTTACAACTCTTTTAATTTAATTTGGCGATACCCACTGAAAAAGCTTACCTGAGCTAATGGTAGCCTACAAACTTCAGCCTGACAGGAGGGAAGCAGCATAGGACCAAACTAAGCCCTCTGAATGCTGGTGACAGTTGTAAGGGTGGTGCAGACTGTGGGTCCCCTGGCAGTGAGCCCAAGATTTATCCACTTTGCTTGTTCTCATTTTTTGGAACCCATTCTCTTTGGAGTGATTCCTTGCTCATCCTAGATTTAGTGAAGAAGTCCTTGGTCCTACCTCATAGCAATGTGCTAGACATTTTTACTCCCCATGGGAAGCTTTACCCTCTCTGAGGAGTGGAGGGGGCTGGAATGGGGGGATAGGATGGGGGAAAGTGGAGGGAGAGTGAGGAAGAGAGGGAGTGGAAACTGGATTTGGCATGTAAAATGAGAAAAGATAGTTATTTTAAAAAATTAAATTAAAAAAAAGGAAGAAAAGAAAATGGCATAGTGAAATCAACTGTTTATATAACTAATATATGCTGACTTTAGAAAATGAGTAATAAAAGTCTTTCTATACCTATATTGCCTGTAAAGCTTGCTCTAAAAGAATATGAAATACAACTAGTTAGGTTAGTAGTATAATATTGAATAGCATCCAGTATTTAGGTCAGGGATTATTTTTCAGCTTTGTTGGCACCATGATCCTCATCATCATCTTCACCACCATTGTTTTTGCAATCACTGTTATTATTGCCATCATGCTCATCATTACCATCCCACATCAACATAATCAACATTGTCATCACTGATATCAACATCATTATCAACACCATTATTATAATAATATAACCACTATAATCGATGCTTTCATCAAAACTACCACTGCCATTACCACTAATACTATCAGCACTAACACCATTATTAACACCACCAATACAATCATTGTCATAATCACCATTACTATCATTTTTATCACCACCACCATGACTAAACATGTTCATCCTACTACAATCACTATTACTCATACTGTCTTCATCAATATAATCATTAACACCATCACTACCAACTCCATCATCTCTGTCTTTAACACCACCATCATTAGACTCACCACCACCACCATTATTAACACTATCACTACCAACTCCATCATCATCAATATCACCACCATTAACAGGATCATCACCCTCATCATTAACACAACCACCACTAATACCATCGTCATCATTATCATCACTATCATTCAACACTGTTTTCACTATTATCAATCCTATCATCAGCATCACCAATATCACCATTGTAGCTATCATTAGCACCATCAAAATACCATTATCATTATCAGCACTAGCTTAGTAATTATCACATCATTACTATCACAATATTACACTTTTAATACCACCACCATCATGACAACCATCATCATTACCATCATCAGCATAATTACTGCCATTAACACTGTGAATAACACCATCAGTATTAACACTATGTGCTGTGAGACAATGCTCTGTACCCTGTCACTTGTATTTTAAATAAACGCTGATTGGCCAGTAGCTAGGCAGGAAGTATAGGCTGGATGACCAGGCAGGAAGTAGAGGCGAGGCAAAGAGAACAAGAGAATTCTGGGAAGAGGAAAAGTCAGTCTGCAGTCATCACCCAGATAGAGAGGAAGCCAGACACTGAGCAAGAAAGATGTGACTGCCTCACTGAGAAAGGTACCAAGTTATGTGGCTAACATAGACAAGTATTATGGGCTAATATAAGTTATAAGAGTTAATAAGAAGGCTGGAGAGATGGCTCAGTGGTTAAGAGCATTGCCTGCTCTTCCAAAGGTCCTGAGTTCAATTCCCGGCAACCACATGGTGGTTCACAACCATCTGTAAAGAGGTCTGGTGCCCTCTTCTGGCCTGCAGACATGCATACAGACAGAATATTGTATACATAATAAATAAATATTTTTTTAAAAAAGAGTTAATAAGAAGCCTGAGCTAATAGGCCAATCAGTTTATAATTGATTTAGACCTCTGTGTGATTTCTTTGGGACTTAACAACTGCGGGAACTGGGCAGAACAGTAACCTCAGTCAACAACTATGAACACCAACATCAACGCTATCGAAATTGCCATAAAACTATAAATTCTGAGGGTACATACTTTTTTGTGATTAGCCATATGCCTCCCAGTGTCTGGCACAGGTTAGGTGGTCAATAAAGGTTGTTAGTTGATGAAATTGCTGGATTTACTATGACATCCCATCTTTCAGTACCTAATATTAGAAACATTGACACTTTCAAGCTCCTTCTAAGATAGGTGTCACATATTGGTACATACCTGTGGTTTTGGGGAAGGAGTGATCTCCAGAGGTTCCCAGATTTGTTGTCGTAGTCCCAGGAGCTAAAAAGAAACCATCATTAGTGGAAAAGCAAGGCACTCTCATAGTAGAAATGCCAGAAAAGAGAGAGGATTTATGTAAATTTTTTTCACACAAAGCTTGAACTGAGACTGTCTTGGAAGTGCAGACAGAGAAGGAAGTCAATAACTGCCCTCCCAGATCTCTTGCTCCAGTCAAATGGAGGCATTAGGAGGGGTCAGCTTCTGCTTTGCTTGGTGTAGGATTGGAGTTGCTGGAACATCTGTTGAATACTCACTGCTGCTGATAAGTGCAGAGCTCTGATGGGTGAAACCTGCAGTAACAAACGAGGATAAGAGAGGGTCAGGGTTGAGAGAGAGAAATGTACTCCTGTGGTTTGCATTCACATTCCCTGGGACTCAAACAATCATTCCCAAGCTGGTAGCACAGCTTTGGGAGGCTGCAAAATCTCAGGGACATGGAACCTAGTTGGCGGTCATAAATCATCAATGGTGGCCTTTTAAAGACATACGACACTGGGTTCTGTTTTAGAATCTGTGCTTTCTGATCTGTAACAAGTAGTACTGTGAGCTAGCACTGCTGTGGAGGAACTGTTTCAAAAACCATAAATTCCCTCCATGATGGATTGTCCCTTATAAAGCTATGAGCCAAAATAAATCTGTCTCGACTTAAGTTGTTCCTGCCAGGCATCTGTAATGAGAAAAGTAACTGACACAAGTACCAGAGAGAATTAAGGATACATAATGGATTGGGATTCATGAAGTGAGGCATATCAGAGACTCACTATCAGGTAAGGGTGGGGTCAGTTCACACCGAGGAACAAATGAGATCCCAGTTTGAGCCAGCACCTATTGAGCACATGGCTAAGCCCTTAAGAGCCAGGCAGGAAGGGTGACCAAAGCTGGAGAGAAGATGCTGCCTATCTAAGAAGAAACTCCAGCCACATCCAGAGGCTTACCATTAACGTAGAGGCTGTCCCTATCCAGGGTGTAGGGATCCAGTCTGGTGACACCATGAGTTAACCCATTCAGCTCCCAGTAGAGCTGCTCCCTGTCCAATCTGTAGCCTTTGGGGTCAAAGTGATATGTGCAGATGGCATCCACTGTGATGGCCGTTCTGTCTTTCTTAGACCTGGGTAAGTATAGAACATAGTTGGGGTAGCTCTGCCTCCTACTCTTTGTTCTTTCTTCTCTCTTTCTGACAGATCCTTGTAGTAGGAGGCCCAACTACAGCTCCTAACTCAAAACAATTAGGAAATTCTAACAAGGAAGTTGCCTTGGGGAAAATAAACACCATAACCAATAGCTAGGATCACAAGGACAGTCATCTTTGTATGTTGCAGAGGAAGCCTCTTCAAATGTGTGACAGACAAAAAGAGGGTAGTACTGATAGGGGTTAGAAATCCACATGATAACTATCCATAGGATAACTGAGCTTGTCACTGGTTCCGGCAGACATGAGGTTCTGAGAGCCAAGCTCTAATGAGCGGAAGTGGCCTCAGAAGAGATGGTCGTAACACTGTACTTTAGATATCTGGCATTCAGAAGGATAAAGTTAGTTACCTCAGGTGCTATGGAACACTAGGTCTGGAGATTTCTAAGGGGAATCACAGCTCTTATATTATTGGGAAGAGATGCCTGTTTTTGGATCTGTCTAACATTAGAAAGCCTTAATGTTTTACCCCCCCTCCCACACACACACAATTAGAGAAGGAATCCAACCTCACATTGGCAGATTCCAAGCATGTACTATATATTTCCTCTATATTCTAGTCCCTCTTTGATGAATTCTAAGCAGGAATTCTCTCACTGAGCAACATCTCCATTCTTCCCTTTTTACAAGGTGTCAGTGAGTTTTATCAGTGGGCTGGGCTTGAACTTGCTAACTTGCTGCCTCTGAGGCTTTTTCCTTTGCTGTTTCATAAGGCTAACATAATCTCTTGAATAGTCAGGATAACAAATCTGCCCCATCATCATGATATTGTTAAGATTTCATAGTCAGACTGTGGTGACTGTAAATACAGCCAAACAGTTGGGAAGCCCACTGCTCAGTTCCATCCCCCATTCGGCTGAGTTTGCATTGGGGATGGACCTACCTGAGTGACACTAGTGTGCAGCCTGCATAGAGGGATCCCAGACTGCTGGTCTTGAACAGGGATTTGAGCTGTGAGAAAGGAGAGGGGAAATAAGAACGAACCACAGAGCAAAGCCAGAAAGAGCTGTGACCCAGGTGACAGGAGCAGGGTCAGAGAAAGTTGGGCCTAAGATGAAATGGGCCCCTCACCAGGTGCTGGAGGACTCTCTCCAGAGTGTTGAAATTCTTGGAGCCATGGTATAGCATGTCTTCCTTGAACTCCAGGTTAGTGATGGTGAAGTTGAGCGTGAACTGTGCAAAAACAGGAGTAGCCACTGCAATGAGAGTGGAGAAAGGGTCATGTGTAGGATACACTTGGTCTTACCTCTAAGAAATCTTCTGAGGCTCAAGACAGGAAGTTTGAAACAAGAAATCAGATCATGGGACCTAGGACAGGAAGAACAGAAGCTTCATTAAGAAACATGGTACACATTGGTCATATTTAGCAACTATGTTGCTTTTTCACTTTCAAATAGGTAGAGATTTAGGAGCACAGTTCTCAAGAGTGCCAAATGTTGATGCAAAGGAAGGCTTTGAGATGGTGAAAGTACAATGCTGAGATGAACTTCTAACTGTATAAATACAAACAGAGCTACTGAACTCTGGCAGAGTCTGTCACAGACACAGGAGAAAGTTCTTGTGTGAGTGTGTGAGCCAGGGTAACTGACTAGGAATTGAGGTTCAACCCTTACAAGCTCCCATCAAAGGCTAAAAAAACAAACTCAGAGAAGTTTCATGGTTTGGAGAAACAGAACAGGAAATGCTGGTAATTGAAGAAGATTCAATATTTAACAAACCTTTTGAATATCAACCTAACTACATCCCTTAGGGAAGCCTTCTCTCACAAGTTCAAACACGTCATTCCCAGAACTTGTCCTTTGGTGAATACTGAAGCCTCTATAGACTTTCTTATCATGGTTATAGGACAATGCTGAGTTAGAGTTAGTTTCAAAACATCCCTGACCCCATCACTAGCCATACATCTGTGAATATGTTTACTGCCATCCACTGTAAATAAGGAGAGGCAAAATGTATAGGGAAATTATAAAGGTTAGATGATTGTGTGTAAGTAACAAAAGAGATCACAATAGGCAAAGGTAGAAACACTGCAAGTTAGAGGCCAGTCTGGGCTGCATAGTAAGATCATGTATCAAAATTAAAGGGGTGGGGGTAATGAAATATGGGTATAAGTGGTAGAATACTTGCCTAGGAGAGACTAAAATCCCTCAAGAACATTGGGACAAGTAGAAAAATAAGCTGATCCCAAAAGTCATACCTTGTATTTTTTCATTTATGTAATGAAATACATAATAATAATTCAAGATAATATTACTACAGAGAAGGAAAATATATCAGTGATTCCTAATGGTTGGATTGGTGGGAGGACACTTTTGTGAGGATTGAGCAGTTCTAGACCTTAATTGTGGTAGTGGCTTTAGGACTCTGTTCAAATGATAAAATGCTATAAAAATACATGCATAAATTAGTGCTTATATAACTATTACCCACTCAGCATTACTTGTCAACTTGACACCCCCTAGAACAGTGGTTCTCAACCTTCCTAATGTGTCCACCCTTTAACAGAGTTCCTCATGTTGTGGTGACCCCCAACCACAAAATTATTTTCATTGCACCCACATCGGGTGGTTCACAAATTCTGACAGCTCCAACCATTGCGTATCAGACACCTCTGGCCACCTGCACACGCATGGCATAACTCATATAGATACATACATAGTCACAAAAATAAAATTAAAATAAATCCAAATCCTGGGCTTGGGCACATGACGTAAGCATTCTACTACCAAGCTACAAGTGGTAAGATTTAAAAAGTGACCTTTTAAGTCTTAGTCTTTTAAAGAAATGCCTCATTTGTTGGTTGGAAAAACTAAGGCACTGAGAGGGTAAACAAGTTATCTGAGATTGATACGGAGGAAAATTTGAGAATAGCTTTTGAGAAATGCATAGAACAGGAGCACCATTAACATTCTAGGTTTCCTCAATCATCTCCCCAAGGTTCTATCTATGAAACTGGGATAGTTGATTTCCCAGAAGGAGTAGCAGAGAGAAATGACCTACCTGTGGAGAGGTTAGGTTGTGCAGTAGAGGTTCCTTTGAAAGACCGAGATGACGTCACAGGAGCTGAGGAGAAATTGACTAGAGTAAAAAATGGTATTTGAGGTAATGCATGAATGTCACAAGGGAGCATCTTTGCTCTCCAAATCAGGCCATAAATATATATGATAGTGTTAATGACAGTCCAGCCTTTAATTTATTTTTTCTTCTCTGTGACCTTGGATTCAGTAAGACATGGATCAGCTACTGTTCCCACAGGGTGTAGTGAACACAATCATCAGACTTTTAAATACTCACTGTTGGAAGTGGGAGCAGAGGTTTGATGGGTAAAATCTACAACAAGAAAAGGAGAGAATCAGGATGTAAGTACAGAAATATGTATGACATAGCTGAGGTCCATCAGCCCCATTTCCAGCTGAGATTTCAAGTCTGTACAGTGGGGCACTTAGAATTCAAGTGTTATTGGCTGAACAGTGGTAGCACATGCCTTTAATCCCAGCACTCCAAGGGCAGAGGCAGGAGACTCTCTATGAGTTCCAGATCAGCTTGATCTATAGAATGAGTTCCTGAACAGCCATGGCTACACAGAGAGATGAGAAACCCTGTCTCAAAACAAACAAACAAACAAACACACAACCCCCAAAACAAAGAACAAAAATAAAATCTAAGTGTCATCAAGAGAACAGTCACTGTTCTCATGGACTTACAGTTTAAACACATTCCAATTTCTACCACATAAGTTTGTAAATTGCTATTTTTCAGAGTCCATACAGAAAAGCATGAAAGATTCAACTTCTTGCTTTTGTTTTGTTTGAGACGGAATCATTGTTTTATTTGAGATATAGTTGTAGTTTGTAGGCCAGGCAGGTCTTGAATTCTGGATGTAACCCAGGCTGAGCACAAACTTGCAGAAAATCTCCCATCTCACCTTTTAAGTGCTGATTGCAAACAGGGACCACCTCACCTGGTAAATGCTTCTTGTTTCTGCTTTTGCTTCTTCTCCTTCACTCCCCTATTCATTGCCCTTCTCCCCGTCTTCCTCATAGTACTGGAGCTCAAACCATGACCCTGAACATACCAGGTATACTCAAAGCTTACAGCTCACTATGAAGTTTTTAAAATGAAAGCCACTAATGGAGGAAGTAGAGCTCAGAGAATATGGCCTGATGCATAGCAAGCATGGTAGAGAAGTTTTAGCTCTGCATAGATATAACATAGATAGGTACAGATTACACACTTCTAACCCCAGTGCTCGGGAGAGGCTGAAGCAGGAGACTCATCAGTTTGAGGATAGACTGGGTTACATGTTTAATTCTAGGAAAGTCTTAGTCACATAGCAAGACTTACCTCAAAGTAAAACAAAGCAAAGCAAAACAAAACAATAAACACCCCTAGACTTGAACCACTACTGAACTACAATAGGCTTCAGTCAGATGTGGTCTTTGATGTGGATAGAAGAAAGCTTCTGTAGGGTAGAAAAGTGTTCAAATAATGCCTTTGTAATGCAGTGACGCAGAGAAAAGAGAATGACTTGAATAGTCCAAGTTTGTGTGCCAGCTGCATATTGTCGCTCAGGTTGACGATACATATAGGAAGGGTTTTGTGACCAATAAGAGAGCCCACTTATCTTAGGGTAACACCCTCATCTTCAGCTTATGGATCGTAAGAAGATGCTTACCATTGATGTACAGACTGTCCTTTTCTAGAGTGAAGGATCCTAGCTTGGTAACACCCTGGGTATTATGACTCACTTCCCAGTACAGCTTCTCTCTGTCCAGCCTAAGGCCCATGGGATCAGAATGGTAAGTGCAGACAGCATCCACTCCAGTGGCTGTTCTATCTCTCTCAGGCCTGGGGAAGGAAGGGAGACAGAGAGATGGTGATGAAAACTCCAAGCTGAGGCTCAGAAAACCTTCACTGAGGGAGAAGAAAAGTGGCACTACCGATGAACAATTAATGGCCGTAGTGCCAGAAGAATACAATTAATAACAGTGCCAAGGTCCTTGAAAAAAAATACAGAATTAAACATGCCAGTATTTGTGCTATCCTTTTACGACATCTATAGCATGACTCCATGCCCGGATAACAGAACTGTGACAATGGAGGTGGGAAAAGAAGTCTGAAAACAAGGTAATAGAAAGCAATTTCAATTGGCTTAACTCCTATTCAGCCATTGCACAATGCCAGATATGTTTCTCCACATCTCTAAGGCTTATTTTTGTGTGTGGAATAAATCAAGACTTTCAGAACTGTGATGCTTAGTTTTAAATGTCAATATGCCACAAGCCGGAATTGCCTGGGGAAAGTCTTAATGAGGAATTAACTGGATCAGGTCAGTTTGTCACAAAGCCTGTGAGAAATGATCTTGTTTGTTAATTGATGTAGGAAGATCCAGGAACCAATCTTGAGCTTGTAGGAGTGAAGAAGACTAGCAAGCAGCCAGCAGACAGATGAGTGTATTAAATTTTCTCTATTTTTCACTGTGGGTATGACGTGACCAGTTGTCTCAAGCCCTTTACACTCTAACTTTTACACATGATGTAAACCAAATAAACATTTCTGTATGTATATTGCTTTTTTGTCAGAGTATTTTACTACAGTAACATAATGAAATTATAAGAAAACCTAGCAGGGAGTGCTCAATAAAATGGTACATCATTGTCTCCTGAAAGAAAATGGAGTCTTATCTTTTTCAGTCGGAAAAGGAAAGGACTGGAGAGGAGTTGGATGTCACCTCCTCCTAGAACACCAGGATCAGGAAGTTAGGAATCAGTTCATGGTTATTGTATACATGCCCTGCATATCTACTCTGAAGTACATACCTCAGTAAGGTCAGTCTGCAACCAGAATAAAGGGACCCAATACTGGTGTTTTTGAACAGGGGCTTGAGCTGTGGACAAAAGGGAAGATGATTTAAGGGGCCAAGGAGTACAAAATTGAAATGAGACAGGGTGAGTTTGAGGGAGTTCTGACCAATCGATTCAAGATCCTCTCTGTGCTGTTGAATATTTTTGATCCTTGGTATCTCATGCCCTCTGTATGGTGCAGATTGGTTATAATGAAGTTAAGGGTGAAGAGTTCCAGAGATGGGCTTGTACCTGTAGCAGAAAAGAGAAAGTGGGGAGTCTAATATGCACTGGAACCCAGGACAGCTATAGTCGAAGGGATGCTTGCATTTAGTTGCTCTGTAACCAGTATTCAAAATTGTCTCATCATACAAAACCAAAACACTAAATAATTAAAAAACTCCTATTTGTCTTTCCCTAACTTGTATCAACCCCTATGAATTTTATATGAATATGAATTTTACTATTTTATAATCTTTCATGAGGAAAATCATACACATTTCTCTTTTTGTGAGGATATTCTCAATATTATCTATGTTAAACGTGAGAATTTCTTTCTTTTTAGGGCTTATAATATCTGACTCGATGAATACATTGTATTTGTTTTTATCCATTAATCTACTCACAGATACTTGGGTTATCTATATATTTTGACTGGATCTGACAACATGGGTATGGAACATATGGAAATAAATATTGTAAATTTCTCTTTTATGGAGCTGATTCTAGGGAAGGGGGTCCTGGAGATACTGGGGCATCAGTTTTGACTGAGTACTCACTGTTTGTGGGGGTGGTCCAGTACCGACGGTTATAACCTGTAGATAGAAAAGAAAGAGTAATGAAAAGGTACATTTATGTAAGCACTAAGAGACGAAAAGAGGGTAGGCCTAGAAGGTGAAGTCATTATGCAACAGTCTGAGATTTATATATAAAGAGCAACGACGACATCTTACTTAGCCCTCATTATGTGCTTTATCCTGTGATAATACTCATGATAAACATCATCACCATTAATTTTACTAAAACAATATATAATAATAAAGCTGGCAAGATTGTTCATTAGATAAAAGTACTTGGCACCAAGCCTGACCATCCGAATTTGAACCTACACGATAGAAGGAGAGAACTTGTCTCTGGTAGTGTTCCTTTAACTTCAATATGTACATCAGCTTATGCATGTACACACACAAATACATAGTTAAATAAATGTAATTTTATCTAAAAAAATCAGGGTATGACACAGTTATTATAAATACAATCTCATGGCAGTGTGGCTACCTGCACTGGACCTATTGACACCAAACACAAATTAAGAATTCATGAAGTCCTTCTCATCACTGATGAACTTTTGGCATCTGATAAATTCTGGGAGAGGAATGGTATCCACCAGTCTCCAATGTACAGTCCCAAACCTGAGGCTGCATATATGGTCCTGATTAAAATTAGTGGATCACAAAACAAAACAAAAAAGACATGAATGTGCAAAAGGGACCTGTAAGGAGGAGGAAGTCAGGAAGAGTGGAATGGAAGTAGCAAAGTAGTGAGCTAGAGTAAACACAATGCATCATATATATTTCTGAAATTATTCAAGGAAAAGTTTAATAAATGAAAACAAAATGAAAAATAATTTTGAAATAAAAAACATATACAATAATAATAGATGCCTATGTTTTGATGAGACTATACTACGCCACAGCAATATTTCATACATTGCAAAGGTAAAAATATATTTATGAAAGAGTGTGTGCCCTAAGCATATTTATATATTCTATATTTGGAAAGATAGTTTAGTTTAAATCTAGCTTTGCTCACTTAGCTTCTTTTTACTTAACAAAATTTTATGATACTTCCTTAGTGTATGTATATTATTTATAACAGAGTTGATAAAATTGAAGTATGTTGTGGGAGAGTTACATGGGGATGCAAACAGAGAGGTTGAGAGTTGTGAAGATAGCGCAGTAGAAAAGCGGTTGCTATAAGTCCTGGATACCTTTAACTGTCAACTTGATGCAATCTAGAATAGTCTTGGAAGTGAATGACAACTGAGGAATTACCTAGTTCAGATTGATCTGTAGGGATGTGTACTGGGGATTGTCTTGATTAATTGATACAAGAAGATGCATCCCACTGTGGACAGCCACATCACAGGCAAGTGGTAGTACTGGGCTGTGTAAGAAACCTAGTTAAGTATAAGACTGAATGTCAGCTGGCAACAAACATCTTTCATATTTTCTACTGCACTTCATTGGCTCTAAAGTAGGCTTTCTGGTTAGAGACAGGATGCTCACAGGAATATCCCATACAGGGATATCCCTTAACCTGGATATTTGTGCAAAGTATGCAAGTTACCTGCCTCTGAGCTTCATCCCAGAAAGAAAAGGAGGATACCAAGAAAAAAAATGTTTCTATAACTATTTTCATGGTGGAGGTGTGTGAAAAGGGAGATAAGAAGAGAAGGAGGAGGAGGAGGAGGAGGAGGAGGAGGAGGAGGAGGAGGAGGAGGAGGAGAAGGAGAAGGAGGAGGAGGAGGAAGGGGAAATGAGAGAAGGAAAAGAAACAGGAGGAATAAAAGAAGGAGGCCCGACTTTAATTTCTCCCTTGATTTCTCTCAGGGATGGAGTGTGATCTGGAATTCTAAAACAGATAGATTCTTTCTTCTCTAGAATTGCTTCTAGTTACAGTATTCAACAGTTATAGAAATGAAACTAGATCATACAAGTTTGAGGACCTAAGGTCATGTGCTTATATCCTACATAAAAGCTCACTATGTAGCCTGAGTGTCTTTAAACTCAGTATTGTATAGTGAGATTATAGTGAGATAAAGAGTAGAGACAAGAGAACTCAAGTAGTTCATGGATCAACTATCCTGAAGTATATATGGTGGATAACAAAGATACCATGTCTCAAAAGAGGCAGTATGCAAGGACTAGTATTTTGATAATTTCTTCTGACTTCCACACATGTGCTTTGAAACACACAAATACACAAATATACACATACATGCAGTGTGTGTGTGTGTGTGTGAGAGAGAGAGAGAGAGAGAGAGAGAGAGAGAGAGAGAGAGAGAGAGAGAGAGAGAGAGAGAGAGAGAGAGAAGTGGTTATGGCTTGAGAAACTGAGGAAATTTGGATGAAAGAAATAGAATTCTTTAAAGGTAAAAAAGATGGGATATCAAATAAAATTGCTAACATTGGATTTTGACAGAAAGTGAAAAAGAAGTGTGTGTGTGTGTGTGTGTGTGTGTGTGTGTGTGTGTGTGTGTGTGTGTGCTGGAGATTGAATCTTGAGCCGTTTGCATACTAAGCAAGGGATCCACCTCTGAGGTGTACCCCATGAGAGAAAAAAAGGAAGAGAAAGTCAAGAAAGGAACTTTCATTTCTATTTCCCTGGAGCATAAAGAAGATATGGAGGGGAAGGATGGGGAGGAGAAGGAAGAGGAGCAAGTGGAAAGAAGGAGTGGGGGGGGCTATGAAAAGAACTTTCCATGCCTATCTTTCTGGATCATTGATTCTATTCCTGCTATTTTATCTAAAAGCTGAAAATACAGATCAGATCTAGACAAAGATCCAAGAATTTCCAGTTTTTTCTCTTATCTCATTTGACTTCCTAAGTAATCATACATCTATCTCTTCATCCATTTCTGTAAACACAACACAAACACCTGATGCAATTCCACGGCTTATGAATCATGACACACACAAAATAATCTGACGCTCCACAGCACTCATACTGTGAAAAAAATACTGTTTTAGCCTACATTTTGTAGTAAACGTTGTTCTTTAACCTTTATCACTGTCAGTTTAACAGGATATAGTGTCATAGCAGGCAAGCCTTGAGGCACACCTGTGAAGGATTATGTGGATTAGGTGAGCCTTTGGGCATGCCCTTAAGGGATTGTTTAGGTTAATTGAGATGGGAAGACCCACTGTAAATATGGGTGATTCCATTTCCTGCACAGACTGCTGAAGTATTAAGAAAGTGGAAAGCTAGCTGAGTACCATTATTTCTCTCCTCTCCCTCTGTAGTTAAGGACTGCAGATATGATTCAACTTGTTGCAAGATCCTGATGCATTGACTTCCCTACCATGGTGGGTTGTCCCAATGTAAGCCAACATAAAGCCTTCTTTCTAAAGACATGGGACTCAAGAGCTCCAAATCCTACTTGAAACACTAGTGGCAGGTGATGCTAAGGAAAAAAAGAGTCAATTTTCTTTAGGGATTGACTAAGGACCTTAAGTCAACCTTCCCCTAGTAGATGGCCCCACACCCGTGTGTGCATAGACAACACAAATCCGACTTCCTCATCCATGATGGTATTTCAGCTGTTGTGATCTTGTTCAATTCTTGTGCATGTAGTCACAACCACGGTAAGGTCATATGTGCAACATTCCTGTAATGGCTGCAGATGTGTACTGCATCTAGATCAGGGAATTCTGTCACAGTAACAGAAAAATATCTTCTGGACACAAAACAGTATGTGGTCTAAATAATACAGGGAAATATGCATTTCACGTTATAAATGAAGGTAACCTTCAAGTGGCTATAAGGGAGTACATAACTAACCATAAATTAGGTTAGATTATTAGGCTAGAGATTGCCTGTCCAGATGTTTGGGCTTGCTGTGTTTGGATGGTTCACCATATTGCCTGAGGTTTTTCAGAGTGTCCATTTGTGAAATTCTCATTCTGGCATACTTTATAGTCTTGGGCAAATAATTTCCTCCTTGAATGTACAATGGTTCTTGGTAAATGAGCATAACAACTCACAGTGTTTTGATAAGATTAACACGATTGCAGAATTCTCACCACACAGAGTCCTTTGATAAGCATGAACCACTTCTAATTTTTTTGTTCTTGACATATCCTTCCTGTGACAATTTTTCTGTCAACATCTAGCCACTATTCAGTGTGTCATCTATTAAGGGCAGCAATGTTTCTGGAAGCTGCAGCTGTTTAAGATGTTCTGTGGAGTCTGAAAATTAAGTTGATATGACAAAAGGATAAGGAAGACACTTTTGGGCAAATAGGAAGCACTTAATCACATCATCCATCACTCCCAAAATCTCCCCATCATCTGCTACTCGAATTAAGTTCTTATGGTAAGCAGAAAAGAAGGAGAATATGCCAAGGAAAAGGAGTAACAAGGGAAGGAAGAAATAACATGGAGTAACATGGAGAAAGAAATAAATTGGAAGAAGAAAATGGAGAAGCAAGAGGATCAAAAAGAGTAGGAGGAAGAGAAAAAGAGGCGAAAAGGATAAAAGAAAAGAGGAGAAATAGAAGGAGAAGATGACAAGAATGGGAAGGAGGAGAAAAAAGAAGTTGATAAACAGGAGGAGGAGAAAGATGGGGAGAATAGAAAAATGAAGAGGAGAAGGGAAACAGAAAGGAAGAGCAGGAGGAAGATGAGAAGGAGAAACAGGAAGAAATTTTCATCCTAAGAGATGAAATAGAAAAGAATGTAGTCTTCTTGCGTGGAGTGAGCAGTCTAAAATGAGCCATTTAATATTAGGCTTGTATCAGGTTACAGAAAATTCTTAAACAATACATTAAAAGATAAAACTGGAAAGTTTTGTGCAATCCTTTCTCAAGTTTGAGACTATTAATATTTTAATCAATATTAGTGCACTGTAATGTGCCTTGGAGTGCTTACCAGCATCCACTTAATATACCTAACAGAAAATATTAATACCTTTTTAGTAGTGACATGGATATATCTCCAGATATAGACAGTTCAAAATCAACCCCTATAATGAGCTTGGTAAATAGTGTTTAGGATCCGAAGTGTCCTCCAGAAAGCTCATGTGTTGAAGGCTTGATCCCCAACTGGTGAAACTATAGAAAGGTGATTGGATTTTAAAAGTGCTAACTTCATCAATGAACAAGCTAATAACTGAATGAATTATTAGCATAGGTAGGGGGCTCATTGTAGGAACTAGGTCACTGGTTTCAGGCCATGGAAAAACACATTGTGTCCCCCAAATCTATTTAATTGTTTGCTTACTGGACCTCATAAAAGAGCAGATTTCCCATTTTATGCCTTCCGCCATATTTCCACCTTGCTACAGTCCTAAAAGTAACCAAGCTACAATGATTAATCTTTATCAACTGGACTGGATTTAGAATCATATGAAATGGATATGTGTGTGTCCATGGAGGCATTTTCAGAAATATTTCCCACTTTGAGATGGGAAAACACACACTGAATGTGGATGGTATCATCTAGTGAGCCATGATGAGGGAAGTTAATAAATAATACAGGAACTAATTAACCTGGACTGAAAGTTTTGAAACTATGGGACATAAAAACCTTTTCTCCTTTACATTTGAGTCTGTTACTTTGTTATAGCAATGAAAACTGATACTAAAGGAGACCCCATTATGACAAAGATACTCACCATTGACATAGAGACTGTCTCTGTCCAGGATGTAGGGACCCAGTCTGGTGATACCATTGGTCAGCTGGGTCACTTCTTGATACAACTGCTTTCTGTCCAGAGGAAGACTCATGGGGTCATGATGGTAGGTGCAAATACTATCTACTCCAGTGGCTGCTCCATTCTGTTCTGACCTAGCATGATGAGGATATGGGAATAAGTCATCTAGATATGTGAGAAATTGTACATATCTCCTTCAAGCTGGCTTTATGCTTATCTTTTTATAGACTGTGTCTACTTTCTCAGTCACATTCCTTTTTAAGTCCTCTTTCTCTAGGTCTACTATTTTACACAGTGGGTTAGCACTAGAAAAGTTTGTTCAACTTATTTTTTCTCTTGCTCTCATTTTTTCCCTCTAGTTATTTGGTTCACATATATTATAAGTACCAACACTTCTTATTGTTATGGTCAAAGTTACTCTAAGACATCTTAGAAAATCTACCTTTTCAACTCCTACACTTCTCTCTTCCCCTTTCCTTCCTTTTGTTTCCCTCTCTTCCTTCAGCTTCTTTTCTTTCTTTTTTCTATCTTCCCTATTCTTTTTTATCATTTTATTCACACCGTCTTTCCTCTACTTTCTAACATATTTCCCTCTTCTTTTTTCTTTCTTCATTTTTCATTCATTCATTCTTCATTCTCTCTGCTACATTTTATTTTTCAACACCACAGAGATTTTTCTATGGAGGGGAGGAGCTAGAAAAGGATGGGTAAGAGGTAGAACAGAAGTGGAGGATGAAAAAACAGAAGACAAATCAAATGAGGAGAAGAAAGAGGAAAAGGCATGCATTCCTAACTTTTACATCCCTCATTACTTGCGATAAACCACCCCACAGAAGAATTTATTTTCCTGTGTTTCCTCTGCTTACTGTACATGTACTGTTTGGCTCAGGCATCATCTATAGAAAGCCTCCACCCAGATCCCCAGGGTTAAGCTCAACCTCCATTACTTGGTTCCTTTAGTCTGTGTGTAGAGTTTAATGATTTCTCTGACCTGGTTTATATATGGTTTCATGTTTGTGCACCTGGTGCCCGTACTACATAGTGGAACTTTTGCAGGAAGAAAGTTATGGCTGCTTTGTCACAGAATGTGACACAAAATGAAAAATCCCATGGTTCCTAAGTGATTCAATATCCCCTTTTCTCATCAATGAACCTCAATTCTCAACACAATTTTTTTCATGCAAATAAGTTCCATGGGAAGTGTCTTCTTCCAGGAAGTTCTGTCTCTCATGCACTAAATCAAAGACAGTGTCTCCCATGTCTGAATTTCTGGAGTGCTTCTTTTCTTTGTGTTTCTTGCCTTTGGTATGTGATATTCAGATGAATTTGACTGTGACAGAGAAGTCCTCTATGATATAAAACAAAGAAGGCTCACCTGATCAGCGACAGTATGCATCCAGAGTAGTTAGAACCAATGCTGGTATTCTTGAACAATGACTGGAACTGTGGATAAGACAAAAGGGTGAGTGAGTGAAAGGTCCATGAGAGTGGATGGCGTGAAGGAAAGGTAAGCCATGGTTTGCAGGTTTCACATTACCAGGTAGTTCAAGGCCTTCTGTGTTTGGTTGAAGTGTAAGGAGTCTGGGTACCCCATTTCTGTGGTATAAGGCAGGTTGGTGATTGTCAAGTTGAAAGTGAATGGCACCAATTCTAGATAAATACTTGGAGCTGGAGGGGAGAAAGAGGGAGAATGACTATAACCATGAGCCTATGTGTAAGTATGACACACATACACACACACACACAGAGGGAGAGAGGGAGAGAGAGAGAGAGAGAGAGAGAGAGAGAGAGAGAGAGAGAGAGAGAATCAATTTTCTGTTTTAGTACTGAGCTGCTGGATGTTAGCAGAAGACTAATACTGTCTCACAGTCACAGTGTCCAGGAGATAAAGTATAGGATATCCTACCCAGAATCTCTTCTGCCCAACTAGAGGGTGAGAGTGGAACTTCATAGTGGACATTTGACTTCATCTTCAGAGGAATCCTGAATTTGTCTAAAGATGACATGTCATTGACATTTCATTGACTTGAGAAGGGAGTAAGACCTTGTACTTTCAGATCTGTGCCACACCACATAAAAGTTTGAATGGACAGTGGCAAGTGTAAAGACTCAGAAGTGGTCAAAGTAATGAAAATAAGCGAATGTTGAAAGTTCAGCCCCAAATTGGATAGCATTGTATCATGCCCTCCAAAAATTCTTTGAAAATTATGGAAGGTTTAGAGAGAATATAAAAGCCAGAAAAAGTGGTGGAATGTTGAGTGATGAGGAATGCCATATTTAAGGCATGACAAGGTGTTTGTGCTCTTGTGTTCACACCAGATGAGATTGTTTGTAAGAAATGAGGTCTGTCAATGGCCCATGGTAAACTTGTGTGTAGGGGACAGGTATATTCTCAAAAGGCCCTGCCTCTACTTGAGGAATGGTTACTTGGATGGGTACTTTATGAGGCCCCATGAGGGCTGATAGGCAGTTAATATTTCTTCAGGAGAAAGGGAAATTTTCTTCAACATTTAAAACTTGTAGACTTTCCAGGCAGTGATGGCACATTCCTTTAATCCCAGCACTCAGGAGGCAGAGGTAGGTGGATTTCTGTGAGTACAAAGCCAGCTTGTGTTGCGGGAGGTCCTTCCACCCCTCCAACCAATAGCTGCTGTGATACCAGCCCATTGGGGCGTGGTCTCTCTCCCTTTAAAATAGCGGCTATTTCCTCTGCTCGCTCTCTTCACTTCCTGCTCCACCGGAGACTAGACTCCCTTCCTGGTTGTACAGATCACCGTCCCAGACAACAGCCATCTGCACAACAAGCTTGGTCTATAAGTGCTAGTTCCATCTGCACAACAAGCTTGGTCTATAAGTGCTAGTTCCATCTGCACAACAAGCTTGGTCTATAAGTGCTATTTCCAGGACAGTTAGGACTACACAGAGAAACCCTGTCTCATAAAAATCCCTCCCCCCAAAAACCCAACTAACCAAATAGACAACAAAAAAACATTGTAGATTGTTTATGATCTTGTAAATAAGCCCTTACTCATACTCATGACAAACTCATCAGTCAAAAAAGTAAGAACAAAAGAGAAAGAAAATGGAGAGATGGAAAGAAACACAAAAGAGAAAGAGTTAGTCCTATGATTAGGAAATTTCCTTAAGGAAATAATAAAAACTTACAGAGTCATGCAACAAAAAAGAAGACCTGGGCTAGTAGAATAAGACAGACTATAGATAGACTGCATATAAGATTTATGCATGGGATAAATTTATGGTCTATGAAAAGTCACAGACTTCTTAGAAAAAGAAAAATACAAAAACAAACAAAAAAAATCAACCCAGAATTCCAAGAGCAACACATGTAGTGGTCCTGAAGCTTAGAAATGCATATAAGGCTTGGATGGCCAGACAAATGGATGCGAGGTACTGAATGGAGAAAGCTGAGGCTCGTAGATGTGACATCCAGTTGATACAACAACTCACAGCTCAAGATTTCTCACTGTCTTCTCCATGGTCTAGTCCAGTGGGTGTCCCTGACATCCTCCATTCTCATTTTTCCATATTCTGCAGGAAGTATTTCAGGTCCATGCAGCCTAGTCTGGTCAACCCTGTCTGCATTAAAACTACCTCCAGGATTCTACCATAACCAACCCTAATTGCCACAACAGGTCCCTTTTTGCACCATATCCAATCTCTTCCCTCTTATTGTTTGAATAAGAATAGCCTCCGAAGAATCATATATTTGAACACTTAGTCACCAAGAAATGGAACTATTTGAAAAGGATTAAGGAACTACTTAAAAAAGAAAAGGACCAAGATAAAAATTGGTACCAGGGAGTGGGGTATTACTAAAATAAGCATGACCGTGCTGTTTGTCATAGGACACAGAGGACTTTGTGGAATGTGGGTGTCCTACTCAAGAGGTTCCAGAGAAGCATATTAGTAAGTAACCTAGAGACTGTTCTTATGCTATTTTGGTCAAGAATGTGGCTGCTTTTTGCCCTTGTCCATAAAGTCTGCCTAAGGTTAAATCAAAGAGTTTGGATTAATCGCCTTGGCAGAACAGATTTCAAGGTAGCTTAGTTTTGACTACTATGTGATCACTCTTATGCAGACCTACAATGAAAAGGACCAAGATGAACAAGGGAAAATACAAAATCTATTCAGTTTGATGAGAAAGGGAGCACCTAGAAATATAATAGAACTAAGTCTTGTGTTCAAGGAGACAAAGTATATAAAGAAATGCCTGATGCTAAGTGGAGTAAAGGGAGTGTTGACCTCAGGGTGATACCATTCCAATGGAAGCTGACAACTGGGTGTGGAACAAGTCCAAGAGAGGGCAGTGTGATGCAGTCAGCACGTCTGAGAGGACTTGAACATCTGAAGAGTGCTTTGAGATCAAATATGGAGTTACAGAGTTTGGAGTTTGCACAGGTAAGCTTCCAGCTTGTGAAGAGGAATTAAAGGAAAGTTTAAGAAGTAAAGAAAACCATCAACAACAGAAAGCAGATACAAAGGCAACTGGCTGAGGGAGCCATGTTCTAGGACCACAAAGTATCAGAACTTGGCATCTTAAGGCACATGGTCCTGGTTTTAGAGTCAAGAATATAAGAAAGGGGGTGTGGAATCTCCCTCTGTGGTAAAGGAAAGTCACTGAGGCCAGGCATGTGTCAGGAGTGTCCCTGCATGGAAGCTCAGCAAGGCTATAGTGCGGAGCTATAAAGGTAAAGCCTGGGTTATGTTGGAGACCCTAAGATGTGTAAAACACCAATTGTGAGATACTATGCCAAAGAAATCTGAAAAGACTTGAGAATCTGAAGAGTGCTTTCACATCAGACATGGAGATGCAGAGATGGAGTTTGCCCACCTGATTTTGATTTTCAGTCAGCCTGGTATTTCCTCACCATGTTCCCTTTTCTGCCTTTTGCAATGATAATACACATATTGAGTTACTGTATGTTGGAAGTAAGAGATCTGCTTTTTTATTGTTATTTAACAAGGGGATACAGTTCAGAGATTGCCATAACTATCAGAAGAGACCTTAAAATAATTTGAGATTTGATAGACTGGGAACTTTTGAAATTGTCTAATCTTTTGAAGTTAGACTGAATTTTTTTTTCATTATAGGATGCCTATAGGTAAATGGGGGCCAGGGATAGAATGTGGTGGTCTCAATAAGAATATCCCCCTCAGTCAAATATATTTGAATTCTCGGTCATAGGGTATTATACTATTTGAAAAGGATTTAGGCAGCATAGCATTTGGAAGGAAGTGTGTTACTGGAGGAAGTGAATTTTGAGATTTAAAAAGCTCATGCCAAGCCCAAAGTCTATTTGCAGATCAAGATGTAGCTTTCAGCTACTGCTCCAGCAACTGTCTGCGTCAACTTGCTCTCCATGCACTGCACTGCAATGATAATGGACTAAACCTGTGAAATTGTAAGCAAGCCCCAAATAATGCTTTGTTTTAATAGCATTTCCATGGTCATGATGTCTCTCCACAGCAACAGAACAGTGACCAAGATACCAATCCGCCAGATCTTCACATCCTTCTTCAGTGTCCGAGTCTGTTGGGAGCAGTTAACCCCCAGATCCTGAGTTTCTTGTAAACAACTTGTTTTCCTCTGCTCTCAGACAGCCTGCAGCTGCTCTGAGCGTGAGACCCTCTGGAGTTTCTGATGGCAGGAGAGTGATTTCTGGTGGGTTTGGCTGGGGTGTGGCTATCCCTATATAAGCTGCCCTTGAACACAATAAAGGGGGCATTCTTGTTTCAAGGATGACCCGTGTCTCTTTCTGTGAGTCTTTGTGTGTTTAAATCTCCAGGCCCTTGCCCAAGACTTGCGAATGGTCCTGTAGTGCAGGCGCCACAACACAGGAGTAGTACCTTACTGTCACGAAGTACAGGTGGGTGCTACATGAGTCTCCCTGACCTTCCTTATTTATGAACCCTCCCTAACCTGCCAGACCTAGCATTCAACCTACAAAGAGTTACCTAACCTTATCTGCCCAGCCTTGCCTGCACCAAAATCCATCTCTAAACATTTGCTACAACCCTACTTACCCACCTCAAACCACAGGATCCTCCCACACCATATGCAACCTTTCTTGGCAGCCAGATCTAATTTCACATTCAAATCTTAAACCAGGAGGTACATTCTGGACATCAGCCCAGTCCACTCTGTTCACTTTCATCACACTGAAGCCATTTCTACTTTCTAGGCCCAACACATCTTACCCTCCTCTTTGTTCCAGCCTTCTCTAACCATACCAGACTTAGAACTAACAAGAGAAATACAAATGCCCAGATTACATGACAAAAGACCCCCAAGCAATACAAAAGAGCAAACCAATATATTCTCTCCTCCTTCAAAATCTTCTTGTATAAATGTTTGTAAATCAAAACTACTCAAAGAACCCCAGGATATTGAAATTAAAAGAAAAAGTATAAAGTTCATCTAAGAATTCAAAGAGTTTTAAAAAGGCAAAGAAGCAGCTCTCTGAAATTAAGAGGACAGTAATTAGGATACTAAATTCAAATTCAAATTTTAAACCAATGATGATGTGATGCCCAAGACATGAAAAAGACAGCTGAGTTCTTGGAAATAGAATTAAATAAGAAGATAGAATCATTGAAGAAGACTCAGGCTGAAATGAAGATGGAGCTCAAAAATCCAATGATTCAAC